CAGCACTTGCCCCAACAGTCTGTTAAGACTATATGGGGGGGTCTTTGTCTTTTTTGGGGGATTATGGGTGACGTGAATGTGCCCATTTGTGACCAGCATTAGTAAATGAGCCCAGACCAGATGTTTCACTTGTCAGTACAACACAAGGTGGCACAATTGTTTTAGCGGTTACACTTTCCTAACGTGACTTACAACATTGAATTGTGTGATAACCACTTGGAATTAGTGGGGCTATCGGGACATTCACTCTAGTTAGCCGTATAAATCAATTGGTACGATTCAAGTTTTGCTTTCTTAGGTGGTACCAGTTCCTGCTGTGGCCCATGGAATCTACAGTATAAAATGTGTGTATGTCACTACGCGCCTGCTTCCCCGTAGGTTATGTGCCAAGAGTGTACATTTCTGAGTATGGATGTGTGTGTGTGATGTGTGTGTGTGATTGTGCTTTCGTGCGTGTGCACGCATACACATTCATACGTGCTCACTATCAGCGCTTGCCCATGACAGTCTGTAAGACAATACAGAGCGTCTTTGTGTGTGTAGTCTGTGGCCAGCATGTTATGTGGCTGTCTGTATGTATTAGGAAGTGTGTGTGTGTGATACATAGTGTGTGTCTGTGGGTGTTTCTGAGTGTGAGGACTATGGGTGATATGAATCCTAGAGGGTATGCTGTGTGTGCCAGTATGATGACTGTTTCCTCATGCATATCTGAGTTAAACGTGTGGTGTGTGTGGCACATAGGGGGAGCGGTGGGGGAGCGGTGGTGTAGCGGTGAACGCGTTGCGCTACGCACCCGGCGACCCGGGTACGACTCCCGCTCACGGCCAACATCAGTGGCGATTATCTGAAACGGTCCTGGGCCTCTCCTAGGTCGACTCAGCATCAAATGTTCGATAACAGTATTTGCCACGACACTGTTAGAGGCTATATACAGGATCTCTTTGTGTGTGTGGAGTCCGTGGCTTTGTGACTACATCTGTGTCTCTCTGTGTGCGGAAAATGAACGTGTATAGATGTGTATAGATGTACGTGTATATGTTACTAGGGCATGGACGCGGCTGCTTCCTCTTGGCTATTATCGCGTTGTGTTTTTGGGTTTGTTTTTGGGTGTGTGTTTCGGTGTGTGTGTGTCAGTGTTTGTGCTCATGTATTTGTGTAGACATTACACTATGAATCTATGTGGCTGTTTCCTTGTTCGTATATCTGGGTTTCTGTGTGTGCACATATTTACGTGTGTAAGTAGCTGCGCATAGCGTGTGGCAATGGGTCTTTGTGCTCGTGTCTGTGTGTGTGTGTTGACGGTGAGTGGCATACATGCGAGTCGGTGTATGTGGCAATGTTGTTGTATAGGAGAGCTGTTTTCAGTGTGTGTGTGTGTTTTGTGTGTAGGTGGCCGTGTGTGTGTGTCCGCGTGTTTCAATGTGTCAAGGTGTTCACGTGCAGATGTGTGTGTGTGTTTCTACACGCTGTAAACGTCGTCATGTCACTTTACCCAGTGTGTCCATGTCAGTGCGTGTCTGCCACTGTTTTTTTTTACACAATGGCACCTATGCGTGCGCATGTTACCACGTGCATGTTTGACTATGTGGACGTATGTTGGATGTTGTGTGTGTGTGCGCGCGTGTGAAAGTTGTTGGCAAGGGGGCCCGTGTCCCCACTCTGCAAACATGCAAAAACGTTGGACCAACCGCGTGCCAACGTTGGCTCAACGTTGGCACGGTGTTGACCCGGGGGGGGGGGGGGGGGGGGTGGACCCACGTGCCTCCTCGCGCGTGCACAACAACAGCGCACGTGTTGGGTGAACCTGTGACGATCTAGAAAGTACGCGTCGATCGGCGTGCCGAACCACTCTTGCGTGTCGGCAGCGTATGCTGTTGGTATGTGCACGACTGCATACCGTGTCAAGCACCCGTACGGATTCACATCGTGCGCGTGTTACAGGGACGCTGGGCATTCAGTTCCATTCGGCGTGCAGCCGTTTCAATGCGCGCAAAACAATTGTCTGTTTGGTTGCGTTTCTCTTTCTTGCGATGGGACTTTGTAGGATGAACGTTGAGATTTATATGGGGCACGGGGTGACCAATAGGGTCTGAATTGGTCTGTAATAAGGTAGGGCGCTGTTAAAGGGTTTACAGGTATGAGTATGTGTTCTTACCCGTGTGTGTATGTATGGTACGTGTTGTGTCTATTTCCGTGCTTAAGCAGCTGTGCTGTCATCGGCATTTGTGTATTGTTTGCGTCCTTGTATACGGTATGTGTCGTCATATTGTTGTGTACGTGTCTATGTATGCATGTATGTTGAACTTATTTCGCACCGTACGTAACCAACCGTGCTAACCGGAAGGTGCGATTCTTGCATATACTGCACGCGTGTGCATGTTTGGGTATAAATATTGCAATGCAGCTGACGTTAAATCCGGTACAGTATTATTCAGTGCTACACCAAGCGTAGATATTTGAAACATAGGCAGCATTGACACAGGTGCCATGGCATTACCACACAAACGGCACACACTCGCTGGACACACGTGGACAAACACGGACACGAATACACAACGGAAACATGAGGTGGCACATGTACGGACGGGTTGCTTGTGTCAAAAACAAAGGATATACTTAGCATACGTGAATTAATCTCGGTGTACGTTTGTCTGCGTGCATGGATGGGGTAATACCGTGTTGTGTTGTGTGTACCCGTGTATAATGTTGTATTGTAATGTTTGCATGCATGCACGTGTATAGTCTTCTCGTAAGACGTGTCTTTTGTGCGTGATCGAAGCAGTTAAGACACTGTTAAAGGTCGTGCATGTTTAGTGTACAATTGAGGAGCGGTGGCGCAGTGGTTAGCGCGCTTGCGGCTACGAACCCGGTCAACCCCCAGTTCGATCCCAGCTCACGGTTATCAATCGCCGACGATTATCCGAACCGGTCCCGGGCCTCCCCTAGCTCGACTAAGCCTCAAATGAGTACCTAGTGGCTGTGGTGCCAACATCGCCAACTGGGGGGGGGGGGGGGGGGGGGGTGAGACAAAGGCGGCCGGGGGTGGTGCTGTCTACCATCCACCCCCAACCCACCCCGCTAACAGCACTTGCCCCAACAGTCTATACTACAGCCGATGCGGCTGTAGTATACGTGGTGTAAATAATGATCACGTTCGTGTGCTCTGGTGGTGGCAAATCGGCGGTGGCACTGCGCTAAAAGGATTCCCGGCTCAGCCTGAGTTGGATTCGACGGCTCAAGGCGAACGACGATCGACCGATGGACTCAGCCTCGACATTGAGGGTACTCGTGTTCTAGACATTAGTCACAGGGAAGACAAAGGTGGTGTGTTCTGTGTCGTGTGCCGGCACCGTGGGCGCGGCATTAATAGGTGCTCGCAAACAGCACTTTCACCCAGCGGTCTCTATAGGAGGGCATCCGTGTATGTTGTTGTTGTTATTGTTAATTTTAAAAAAATGTGCGTCTTTAGTAGCTGTGAGAGTGCAACGTCTCTGTTGATGTCTTGGTGTTTGTGTGTCCTGTGTCTTTGTGTGTGACTGTGCTAGTAACACGTCGTCTTTGTGTGTGTGTGTTTAAAAAACAAATATTTGTGTCTGTGTAATTGGTGTACGTGTCTTTGTGTATGTGTCTTTGTACTCTATGTATGTCACAGTGTGTGTCTTTGTATGTGTGTCTTTGTCATTTTATACATACACGTGTCTATTTCCACGTATGTCTGTGTTTGTGTGTATGCGTCTTTGTGTGTCAGTGTATCTTTGTCTTTGTTGTTTGTGTGTATTGCATCGTTGTGTATGCGTGTCAGTGTGTCTTTGTGTGTGCGTGTCTTTCCGTGTCTGTGTGTATGTGTCTGTGTGTATGTGTCTTTGTGTATGCATCTGTGTGTGTTTGTATGTGTCTTTGTGTATGCGTCTGTGTGTGTATGTGTCTTTGCGTTTGTATGTGTCTTTGTGTATGCGTCTGTGTGTGTATGTATGTGTCTTTGCGTATGCGTGTGTGTTTGTATGTGTCTTTGTGTATGCGTCTGTGTGTGTATGTGTCTTTATGTGTATGAGTGTGTATCTCTGTGTGACTGTGTCTTTGTGTGTATCAGTGTGCATTTGTGTGTGACACTGTGTCTTTGTATGTATGTGTGTGTCAGGGTGTGTATCTTTCTTTGTACGTGCGTCTGCGCGTGTATATGTGTCAGTGTGTATTTGTGTCAGTGTGTAATTGTGTGTATTTGTGTGTCAGTGTGTATTTGTGTCTGTGTATGCGTCTGCGCGTGTGTATGTGTGCCAGTGTATGTTTGTGTCTGTGTATTCGTGTGTGTCTTTGTGTCAGTGTATGTTTGTGTGTGTCTTTGTGAATGTGTGTGTCAGTGTGTATATGTGCGCGTGTCTTTGTGTGTGTGTGTCAGTGTCTCTGTACGTGTGTCAGTGTGTGTCTCTGTACGTGTGTCAGTGTGTGTGTGTCTCTGTACGTGTGTATCTGTACGTGTGTCAGTGTGTATGTGTGCGCGTGTCTTTGTGTCTGTGTGTCAGTGTCTATGTACGTGTGTCTCTGTACGTGTGTCAGTGTGTATGTATGTGTCTCTGTACATGTGTCTGTGTACGTGTGTCAGTGTCTATGTGTGCACGTGTCTTTGTGTCTGTGTCTGTGTACGTGTCAGTGTATATGTGTATGTCTCTGTACGTGTGTCTCTGTACGTGTCAGTGTATATGTGTGTGTCTCTGTACGTGTGTCTCTGTACGTGTGTCAGTGTGTATGTGTGCGCGTGTCTTTGTGTGTGTCTCTGTACGTGTGTCAGTGTGTGTGTGTGCGCGTGTCTTTGTGTCTGTGTACGTGTCAGTGTGTATGTGTGCACGTGTCTGTGTGTGTGTCTGTGTACGTGTGTCAGTGTGTGTGTGTCTCTGTACGTGTGTCAGTGTGTGTGTCTCTGTACGTGTGTCAGTGTGTGTGCGCGTGTCTTTGTGTGTGTGTCTGTGTACGTGTGTCAGTGTGTGCCCTAGGGGGCCACTTACAGTGCTGTCAGCCCGAGCCTCCCTCCCTCCCTGCCTCCTCCTCCTGCTGCTGCTGCCTCCCGGCCTGGATTGTTGTGACTCTCCACCCCCCCCCCTCCACTCCGCGTCTCTGAACGGACACAATCCCAGCCCGCTGTCAGAAATCCTCCCGACGTGACCCCGCGTCTCTTCCTTCCTTCCTCGCACGCTTTGCTTCCTTCTCCAAGTGGCAGTGACGACGAGAGATGAGGTGGTGGGTGGCTGTGTGTGTGTGTGGCTGTGTGTGTGGGGGGGAGACGGACAGAGCAGCAGATCGCGGAGAGGATGACAACACGAGACGACAACACCGGCGCGAGGTCGTTGGATTGGTGATGGTCGTGGTTGGTGACGACGACGACGATGATGATGATGATGTGGGACACAACAAATCGACGAGGATGTGATGATAATGGTTCTTTCGTTCTTCTCCTCCTCCTCTTTGTGCGACGGAAAAGGCCGGTGGTGTCTTTGCCTTGTCTGGACGTCACGGAGGCGGTGGCGAGGGCATTTAAAGCTCCCCCGACGTCACGGGCTCGCAGTGGAGAGGGTGGCTGGGAGGAGCCTCCCTCTCTCTCCTCCTCTTCCCCCTCTCCTCCTCCTCTCTCTCTCTCCTCCTCTCCGCTCTCTCTTTTTTACGATCAGAGGAAACAAGAAGATGCTCGGTGTAGTCGGCACTTTGCTCCGTTCATCATTTCGTTTTTTTTGTTTTTTTATGCTTTGCTTTATGTAAACCCCTCCCCCCCCCCCCTTTTAAATGAAAGACCCAACAAAAAATGTTTTCTCCTTACCCCCTCCCTCTCTCTCTACCCCCCTCTCTGCCCCCCGTCTCTCTCTGCCCCCCTCTCTGCCCCCCGTCTCTCTCTGCCCCCTCTCTTCCTACTCCATTTCGCTCTCTCTCTCTCTCTTTTTTCAATGGTAGGTCTATTTGAACAGTGAGAGACAGAACAACAACAAAATCCAGAAAACGCATGCCAAAAATGCCACAAACTGATTTGCATTTTAATGAGGGAAATAAGTAGTTGACCCCCTCTCAATCAGAAAGATTTCTGGCTCCCAGGTGTCTTTTATACAGGTAACGAGCTGAGACCAGGAGCACACCCTTAAAGGGAGTGCTCCTAATCTCAGCTTGTTACCTGTATAAAAGACACCTGTCCACAGAAGCAATCAATGAATCAGATTCCAAACTCTCCACCATGGTCAAGACCAAAGAGCTCTCCAAGGGTGTCAGGGACAAGATTGTAGACCTACACAAAGCTTGGTTTGTCTACAAGACCATTGCCAAGCAGCTTGGTGAGAAGGTGACAACAGTTGGTGCGATTATTCGCAAATGGAAGAAACACAAAAGAACTGTCAATCTCCCTCGGCCTGGGGCTCCATGCAAGATCTCACCTCGTGGAGTTGCAATGATCATGAGAACGGTGAGGAATCAGCCCAGAACTACACGGGAGGATCTTGTCAATGATCTCAAGGCAGCTGGGACCATAATCACAAAGAAAAAAATTGTAACACACTATGCCGTGAAGGACTGAAATCCTGCAGTGCCCGCAAGGTCCCTCTGCTCAAGAAAGCACATATACATGCCCGTCTGAAGTTTGCCAATGAACTACTGGGTGAAAGTGTTGTGGTCAGATGAGACCAAAATGGAGCTCTTTGGCATCAACTCAAATCGCCGTGTTTGGAGGAGGAGAAATGCTGCCTATGACCCCAAGAACACCATCCCCACCGTTAAACATGGAGGTGGAAACATTGTGCTTTGGGGGTGTTTTTCTGCTCAGGGGACAGGACAACTTCACCGCATCAAAGGGACGATGGACGGGGCCATGTACCGTCAAATCTTGGGTGAGAACCTCCTTCCCTCAGCCAGGGCATTGAAAATGGGTCGTGGATGGGTATTCCGCGCTCTCTTTTTTTATAACTACGACAAGTGCTGCACCTGCACGCAGCCCTTCCCACAGTCAAACGGCCTCCGACGGGTAGATTATATCTGCATGCAGAGCTCTCCGTCATCTGCCACCGAGCACACGGCCTCCTCCTCTCTCTCCTCCTCCTCTGCCTCTCCTCCTCTCCCTCTTCTCCTCTCCCTCTCCTCCTCCTCTCTCTCCTCCTCCTCCTCTCCTCTCGCTCTCCTCCCCCTCCTCTCCTCTCGCTCTCCTCTCCCTCTCCTCCTCTCCCTCTCTCTGCCTCGCTTTCTCTCTCCTTTTTTCCTATTGTTTTTATCCTTATTTCTATTTTTTCATTTTTTTTCTTGTTTTTTTCCCCTCTCCCCTCTCTCTTTTTTTAATCTTTTTTACGATCAGAGGAAACAAGATGATACTCAGTTTTAGTCGGCACTTAGCTTCGTTCATTATTTCGTGTTTTTTTTCCCTTGCTTTATGTGCTCCCCCACCCCCCCCTTTTTAAATTAAAGATTTTACGTGTTTTACCATTGTGCAACAAAATCAGTCTGTTGCTACTTTCTTCGTAGACACAAACATCAACACGAAGAAGCACGCTCTGGTCCATCTCCTTACCCCTTCCCTATCTCTCTACCCCCTCTCTCTACCGCCCTAGCCCTACTCTCTCTCTATGTTCCCACTGTTTCTCCCTCTATCTCCCCCCCTATCTCCCCCTCTATCTCCCCCGCTGTCCCCCTCTCCCCTCTATCTTCCCGCTCTCCCCTCTATCTCCCCGCTCTCCCCCGCCTCCTCCTCTCGCTCTCTCTCAACACAAAGACAAAGTTCCCCCTCTTAGCCTTTGCTTAGACTATTGGGGGGGGGGGGGGAGGGCAAGTGCTATTATCGAACATCCATGGAGATCGAAACGGCGGTGCCGAGGGTGGACAATAATCACCACGCTCCCCGGCCGCATTTGTATCCCTCGTGACGATGTTGGCACACCGCACTCGGTACAAATGTAAGGCCGAGTCGACTTAGGGAAGATGCCCAGGACCCGTCTCAGATAAATCGTCGCTGCTCCTTTGGTGGCCATGAGCGGGAATCCAACTCGGGTGGCCCAGGTTCACAGCGCAGCGCTAACCGCTCCACCACCGCTCCCCGCTCAGACACACACACACCTGTAAACTCTCCTCGCCCACATTTTTCTTCATTTCCCATTGTTATTCATTAACCTCTGCTCTTAGTTTTTGTTTTTAAAACGTGGTCATTTCGTTTACGTCGTGAGCGGTTGTGAAATTCTACGTGGAAGATTATACTGGGCCATCTGTGTGTGTGAGTTTCTACAGCACGGTTGTGTAACCTCTGTCCAGTACAGCTGTGTCTTGGGTGTGTGTGTGTACTTCATGTGCCCTCTGCCAGTCACTTCAGTCAACCCATAGCACCTGGGTCTGCGCCGTGACCTGCCAGCGAACATTCGACAACTTCACGTGACCTCAGCGTGCACCTAGCCTGGCGCAATTGCCCTGGCGAATTCACCGACCACTTGGTGGCGAATTGGCGGTTCTTGTTGTCTCCTCTATAGATGTTGTCCTGTCTGTCCGTGTCACCTGTACAAAGGTTGTCTGCCCACTGGTCTAGAACACGTCTCCTCTGTGTCTCCACGACCAGTGTAATGTTCCCGTGTGCCCGTGTCCAACAAATATCTTTCCTGTGTCCAACGCACGTGTAACTCTTGTGTACGGTCTATGTGTGTTTCAGCCTGAGAGCATCTTCCTGTACGTGTGAGTGAAAGTTTCATGTGCAGCTTGCTCTGTGACCTTACGTGCTGTGGTTTTGTAAAGCCCACATGGAATTTCATGTTTCGAGGAAAGAGAGATAATGTCTCTCCACTCACATTTTTTCTTTATACATTTACAAGGAAGTTACGCAAAGTATCACGTAAGGGATCTCTCGTGTTTGTGATTGTTGTTGGTTTCCACACAGCTCAATTCTGATACCAGATACAGGAGACTACACCTGCAACATGCATTGTGTGTTCTACCTTCAAAAAAATATATCCTGTTCACGTTCAGCTGTTGACACTATGTTGGACTGCACTCCAGATGGATATCCATAACCCAACCACAAACCGTCACCACCATCACCACCCCCACCACGACCAAATCCACTTTACTCTTTCTTTTCTCTTGCATATATTTTTTTTATCCAGAATACGTTAATGAGAACTATCCATTGATTTAACCTCTTATTTATCGTCATATTTAGCTGATCACTTGCAGTAGGCAGTTTTATATACACACCTCCAGAAAGCACAATTGTATTTGCATTGACGTGGTATTAAGGTCTCTGCTTAAATTGTATGTTCATTGTTGTGAAGTCATGAGGCTTACGATTGTAAATAAAACATGTAACGTGTATAATAGAGCATCATGCTTTCCCACCTGATGACGGATGCTTGTGTTGCGCCCGAAACGTCGTGATTTATTTTATACCTACGTGACTTTACCGAAAGAACCAAAGAGTATGGATTCACGAAAGCTTCAAATCAAGCTTGTGTATAATAGAGGTTTTTGGTTTAGATCGCCGTAAATATGTGTCGTTAAAACCCGCCACCACCCGTCACGTAAACAGGACATGGAGAGCCAAGCCACAACATTTACAAACTGAGTAAATGTTCTGGCTTGGCTCTCCAACACACACTGGTGTGCTGAACTAGTGACGAATTGGCCACGTTCTGTTTACGTGACAACCCTTACTAGTTGGCTGTGTCGGGTGGTGGCGGGTTTTAACGACACATTTATATATTTACGCTATCTAATAGTCTATTATGGATGATATTGGTCGCGAAAGCCTACGTGTTAAAATGTAACGTGTACTCAGCCCTCATTGTATTTGTACAATTGGCAAAACTGAGGCTATGGTCGCCTGTGTGGGTAGTGGTTTGCACACGTGTGCACTTTGCGCAGGGACACGGTGTGAATGTTTAAATGCCTTGCTTTTTCTTTTACCTTATTTTTTCAAACTGTGCTGTTTTGAAAATAGTTTTGCTTTGACTTTTTTGGGGCTACAGATAAGGAGCAGACTCCAGTTTCTTCTTCCCCATGACCTTGAGGTGACACGGTTGGGGATTTTTGTCCAAAATTTTACAGACGCTTTTAGAAAAGTATAAAAAAAAACATATTCAGGGTTATTAGGGAAACACCCAATGTGTTCACTGCATGGTATAAACCTTGAGACCCGTCATTACCTTTACAGGAATGTATCGAATTGAAAGCACAACGTATCGACAAGTAGACAACATCCATCCTCATAGCTGCATTTGTAAAAGTACACTTGTAACACCGATGTCTGTCGTAAAGTTGTCTGGCTGCTGCTCATAAAGAATAGATATTGACGTAAAAAAAACATGAATCCTAATGCATTAATTATAATTGTGTAAAATGATATGCGTTTAACTTACGTGTTGTATCGTTACAATCACTGTATTAATGTGTGATAGCTATCGGAACGATCGCATGTAGCTTACTGTCACCTCTTACCAGTGCCTACAAATTTGTATTGTGATGTCTTGGTCACAATGGATGCAAGCAAGGCAGTCCAAGTTGCCTTAAGCCTGTTCCAATCATATCTCGACAATACGAGATCACTGGTTCCTCTTTCAGGACGCTGCACCAAGGTCACTTCTCCAAAGCAAATTCAGTTTGCAAAACCACTCGAAAATAACTTGTGTAAAATAATGATCTTGTTTCTGTAGACAGGGCATCACTTCCACATCAGCATCAAATGTTTTTTAAACCAAGTAATGCTTTTGGAAATGTATTAATCATAATCGCACAAGATGAAGTGTCCACGTAACTAGAGTATACAGCACATGTACATGTAACAACCCTCTGTTAATCCACTGCTGGATGAGGGCCACACCGTGTCGAATAGGTCATGGGGGTTATTTGACCATGTTAATCCACTGTTGGATGAGGGCCACACCGTGTCGTAGAGGTCATGGGGGTTATTTGACCATATTTCATCATACCGGTCAGTGTGGGTTCAATGGTGATGGTGGGGAGCATAGACGTGGGGGGATATACAGTACAACGATGGATGCAATGCCTTTGTCCTGTTCTTCGCTGACAACACAGCCGTTCAAAATTCGCAACTGCAGGTGACCGCATGCATTGAGGTTTTAATGTGTGTCCTTTCAAAGTAAATGGTTAACAGTTTTATAAATGAACTTGGAACTTTGTGCCTGTCCAACATGGGGTATAGCAACAGTGTGTTCCTCACCAGCTAAAGTTATGCGGAGATTTAAAAAAAACACATTTTCGGTTTCAATTCCCATTCTGAGTGAAGGTTTTTCACTTGATAGCGATCTTTGAGCCGTTCACTCAAAACCCCGATAAGACGTCTGCACCAATGAAATATGTGGGGCTGTTTGCGAAGTAACTTACGTTGAGACCAACATTCAGGAAATACAACCCATGGGAACAAATTTGAACGGGAAAATACACAGTTGGGCCTGATGAAGCCGGTCGTAATCAGCAGCGAAACGTCGTACTCGAATTGTAAACGTTGTGGGTTTACTCTCCAACACACAAAAACCGGTGTGCTGGAGTCGTGAACTAATTTACGCGCTCTAACTCCCCCCCCCACCTCTCCGATGTTATCTATATATATAAAAGGGAAATTTGTGAATGTGTCTGTTAAAAATGTTTAGCGTACTTCCCGACATGCAACAAACTTTAAATTTGCCGTGTGGGTACTTTCCAGACTGTACACCATGCAAAAATTATAAAAATACACTTTTGTATATATATTTGTTTGGGGGGGGGGGGGGAGCTCAATAATGCATTTATTTAGCAGGGCAAGTGAGCTGTGACGTCACATCTGTCATGTCACCCGTGTGCGGAAGCGTTAAGCAGTGTGCCTGCTGATCGCGGGTAAAGGGAAATACAAATGTGGTGCAGGTCGACGGCGTTCTTCGCGCAGCATTGCTTTATTATTTGAGTAGTTTACTGCCGTACGCACCCTGAAAGTTGTGTGTCTGCAGCAAGCGCGTGTATGTGTACCTATGGACGCATGTGTGTGTGGGGGGAGCGGTAGTGTAGTGGTTAGCGTGCTGTCTGTGTTTGTGTGTGTGTTTGTGCGTGTGGGGGGAGCGGTAGTGTAGTGGTTAGCGTGCTGTCTGTGTTTGTGTGTGTCTGTGTGTGTGTTTGTGTGTGTGGGGGGAGCGGTAGTGTAGTGGTTAGCGTGCTGTCTGTGTTTGTGTGTCTGTGTGTGGGGGGAGCGGTAGTGTAGTGGTTAGCGTGCTGTCTGTGTTTGTCTGTGTGTGTGGGGGGAGCGGTAGTGTAGTGGTTAGCGTGCTGTCTGTGTTTGTGTGTGTGTCTGTGTGTGTGTGGAGCGGTAGTGTAGTGGTTAGCGCTACGCTGCGCTACGAACCCGGCGACCCGAGTTCGATTCCCGCTCACGGCCACCACCAGGGGAAGATTATTTGAACCGGTCCTGGGCCTCCCCCTAGGTCGACTCAGCATCAAACGAGTAACTGCTGTGGTGTGTGGTGAACATCGCCACTGGGGAGACAAAGGCGGCCGGGCGTGGTGAATCCAAGTCCCGGGCGAAGCCTGGTAGTATAAAGCTAGTGGATGATATGTGGCAATGTGATCTCGTGCGCCGGCGTGGCTGACCTAATGCACATTTATCGCGGTAAAAGTGGAGGCGTGGTCCACAGCGCACGCGTCAACAGTGGCGGTTTATTGTATTTGGCTTTTATTTAAACGATAACTATTTTAGCGATACGTATTTACGCGATACAACCCTCCAAAACAACAACTCCCCACCCTTACTGATGTCTCAAACGTGATGTTGACGGAACTAATGCGTTAGAACGGAACTAATTTACGCGGAACCAAAAAAAGACGGCACAACGTTTCCGGGGGAAGTTGGCGGGGAAGGGTGGGGAGGAACTTTTAGCCGTCTGCACACCGATTACATTTACCACAACGGACAAGCGGCGCGCTTTCGCTCGCCACGCGCCTCAACCGGTTGGTCACCTTTTTCGATCACGTGACGGGCGCCAACCAATTAGAGGCGCGGCGCTGAGCAAATCACGGCGGAAGGGGGGAGGGGATTGGTTGAGGCTGGGGCGGGTGGGGGGGGGTGTGTTCCGGGACCCGCCTATGCGCTGTATGGATTTGGAGGCCACGTGGTGTGCTAGCAACGTGAACGCGAAGAAGTGGCCATGGCCGACTTGGACCTCGTCGCGACTATCGAGGACGACGACGAAGTGAAAGTCGCCTCGGAGGAGAGCGACTCTGGCGACGACGAGGTGCGTGTGACGAGGAGGTCAGGCAGACTGTAGTCCTCTTCAACCTGCGGCGGCGAGAGAGCTCGCGGCTCGGAAAGGCCCGTGGCGGATGCACGTGGTGGTGGGGGGAGTCTAAACACGTGGCGGCGGCGGCATCGGTGGTGGTCTGCCTAGCTGGTTTTAAGTTAAAACTAAAATAAAAACACATTTAGCGGCTAAAGCGCCGCTGAGCTACCGTAGATTTTTTTTCGGCTATCGCAAATGGTAGCTGTTCCAACGTAGGTGGGCTTATCGTTGTGTGGGTATTTAAAGCAGCGCCAAATACTCTAAAAACGCGTGATGTTGATTCTACATGTGGAGGGGAAAAAATAACCGGACGACCCGGAGAATAATCCACGCGACCGCGGAGAGGGAGAGACTACAAGCTTCAAATATACATGCATCAGGGTCGAGATAGAACCCACGACCTCCTGTACTACCAGGCGAGGTAACGTCTCCTAGCCACTAGTGGAGTTAGTGTGTTGGTTATACTGTACGAGTTACTTTTTTTTAATGCGGTAACGTCGAGCAGTGGATAGACCACGGCTTGGGTGTTACTGGTTGGCGTGGGCCTACGGACGGCGCGATTGTATGCGTGGATTTCTCCCAGCGTTTTCGTGTATATGTTGGTGGAAAAAAATCTAACGGAGTTTCACTTTGCATAGCGCCTAAATACAACCGCATATTGTGTAACCCTTTCAACAGACACACTGCACAAACGTACATGTAAATATATACACAAGTGGTTAGCTTCTTCGTGACCTACTGCTACTTGAAGGCCTCTGAAACATGGACGCAGTCCATATGATTCGTGGTAAAGCTGGCAATGTTAACTAATTGAAAATAAAAGAAAAACACTTGGCAGTGTGAGATCCCATCACCTGTGAACAAATCGCCCGGAATGAGCCCCCGCATATCGTCGGATGTGAGAAGCTCAGCAGGTTTAGAGCCTGCACACCGCTTGGATGGGGAGACCGCTATGCGGCAGCGCGTTGCCATTGGCGTCTAGCCGTGCTCTAGTGCTTTGTGGGGAGTAGAGCAACCAACATTCATTGTTGGACTGTACTTCTATGCATCCCAAGTCCAAAACGGAGTGCCACGGTGGCGAGATGTTAACTACCTCGACTGGTAATACAGGGGGTCGTGGGTTTGATCCCAACCTTTAACGCCTCTATATTTAGATACATGCGTGTAAGGGTATTTGGCTGCAGTAAATTTCCACGTGATAAGCCACTTTGTTGAGCTTATCATTTGTGGCCAGGTCGCTTGTGACAAAGAGCTACGTAGCTCAAGTGGGTCTTACCTGGCAATAATTACGCATCGTGGTAGTCAAAAATAATGGTCAGGTAACCGACCGATAATTGATGCTGCGTTAGTTGAGGATATAGGCCAAAGTAAAGTTGGGAGTCCATCACGAGATCATTAGCTACATCAGAGATGAGTATCCCCGCAAAGTCGTCGTTTAGTGAGTGTCGGGACATAATTTGTCATCTTAATTACTGTTAAGTTATATATCTTCGCTACTGGCCTACGTAGCCCTCTCCACACCACGCCGATCAAATGGGGGGGGGGTAACCATACTTCACCACGCTGGTCATTGTCGGTTTGAGGGGTGCAGGATCGGCTCGGATATTATCACTGGAATGTAACGAGTGCTTGAAGAACTGCACAGACGAATTCACGAATCCGTTTGGCTTTACAGCCGTCTCGAGACCAATTCGCAGCCCTGCAGGTTTTCGGATTTTCTCTAATCTCAGTGATATCCACCAAATTAATGTTCTAATTGCTCGTTTTGGGTTTTTTCCTACAATCTATTTCCCCAAATTCTTATCACAGTACTTTGCTAAATTCAAGGAATGCATTAACTCTTCAACTAATTGCGCAACTTAAATTCCTCTGGGATTCTGCCGCTTTGGGACCCGTGCTCAGCAACCGCAATGAAGCAAAATAAAAATAAAAAACAAAACCGAATGCGCAGCCTCCAAAGTTGCGGGATGGCGAGCAAGCTTCACCATCAGTCAGCACACAGCACGTCGTTTTTGCGTGACCGCGTGAAACACCTCCCTTGTCTTTTTTGCAAGTGCGCATCGAATGCTGCAATGCCGTCTTGTCATGCCCTGTCACCTTTGCCCGGCCAGGATGGGACCGTCGTGAAGAAGAAAAAGAAGAGGGCCCAGCCGGTGGTGCGTGGCCGCTGTGCCGACTTCAGCGATGACTTCGCGTTCCTGGAGCGCGACGGGGAGATCGCCATTGACTGGGAGCGGGACATCTTGCTGATGGCCAAGAAGAAGGTGAGCATTGTTATTTTATTTTTTTACCTACGTGACTTTACCCAATAGAACCAAAGAGTGTGGATCCTAGCAGTCACGAAAGCTTTAAATCTAGAATTGAAGGTGAGCATTGCGCACAGCCTCGGGTGTTGCGTTGCGAGTGAATGCAAGCGGTAGCGATGTGCGATATCATCGGCCATGCCCCTTCGCACTCCTGAGTGAATTCCTCCAAAGCCGGTTGCCATCTCTCACGGTCTTGAAAGGCAAACGATCCATTGAGAAACTGCACTCGAGTTAAGTTCATTCCTCCACCTCCACGCTGGTCGTTATCAGGCGTTGTTCTCTCCTTTGTTATTCTTTTACGAGTCTCGACCACGAGCAGTCATCTCTTCTAGAGTTGTGTGTGGCCTTTGATGCTCAATCCCACAAGTCAATGTGATGTCTGATTCATCTTTGCTCTTTAATCAGTGTTCCTCATCTTGTCTCTAGGTGTGATTCCAACCAAGCATGCAATTATCAATGTTTATTTCCATACCTTTTAGCTTTGGTTAAATTTTATTTATAAATTACCATGTTTCTGATCCTATGTTACAGCAAGGATTATACACTATTACATTTTTCTTTAAGAAAAACACAAATTGAATAAAATACAATTTTCTTAACATTTTTGTTGTTTGTCGGTTTATGCAACGAGTCTTTTGATGTTTATTTTACGAATAATTTCAGTTCGACTGCAACAAAACTTCCTTTGGGAATGTTGGCAGCTCGTAACACACCAGCTTTTGTCAGAGAATGGGCTGCTGACAGTGACGTTACAGAACTACTTCTGATGTTACGTCAGTAGTCGTCTTTATTGTCGCGAAAATCGTTGACTTTAATATCCCTTTACGCACGTGTTTCATCAGTTTTCCTGAATATATTTGGATTGTTTTGTGATATGCGTGCCTGTTAAAGCGTCATGCAACCACGCTGGATGAGAAGATTGCGGAAGTGAGGCGCAAGAGAAAGAAGGCGGTAAGCTCATTAAATGGTATTCACAATAGCAACGAAGTTTACTCAAATGTGATGTTCTTTAATGGATTGATTATTTTTATATTTGATGCAATTTAATTTGCAGTGTTATTAAAATTGATTTAACGTGATAATCTTGCAATGTTACGGCAAAGGTTAATTATAGCACTCTGTAATTGGATTTTTTTGTTATTGAAGTAATTATACTGGGTGAAAAATTATTAATGCTTGTCTTCAGGAAACCTCAGAAAACGACGACAAAGGGAAGGAAGATGAAGATGAAGAGGATAGAGCAAAGGCTGAGGAGAACGGAGAGAAGGAAGCAGAAAGCAGCGAAGAGGGTGACGAGGAGAGTACCAATGAAGCGACGGGATCCTCGTCGGACGATGACGTTCAGAAATCCGGTGGGTGCTTTACATCATTGCTGAGCAGAGGGCCAAAATGTCACGTGGCCAGCAACTAACAACACAAAGCAAAGTTGTAATACGCAACAGTTAACACGTTCTTTGAGCAAGTTTATTTTGTTGAACCACGTGAGAACTCAAGAGACCAGAATAGTCTACTTTGCAAAAGCGACAACCTGGGGCATTAGTATGCCAATAGGGGGCAATTATTGTTATGTATCCGAACCTCCGATTAGTACATTTGGCTGCATATGGTGCGAAAGTTCAACATATACGCTTATAATTCCAATTGAGTAATGTGTTGATGATTTTCGAAATTGACAAATTTTGACCTTGATGCCAGCAGCACAACAATGGCTTACGCTTGCAAATGACATAGGGGGATCTTTAATATCCACTGTGAATCAGATGGCTCCTGTTACTACACCCAAAGCAATAATCGGGGCTGCCGCTGACTTTGAACCGTAAACGTCTGCAGCAGGTGACAAGCGTGCCACCGCTAGGCTTGTGTGCACTACCTCGCCTGGTATGCAGGAGTTGGTGGGTTTGATCCCGACCCTGATGTCTTTATATTTGGAGTTTACATGGTCTCCCTCTGGTCGCATGGATTTTTGTCTGGGTCCACCGGTTTTTGCCTCCACATTTAGAATCAACATGTGTTTAGAGTATTTGGCGGCTGCTATATATTTCAATTTGATAAGCCACTTAATTGAGCTATTATTTGTGGCCAGGTCGCTTCTGAAAAAGATATATATAGCCCAGTGGGCCTATACTGGTAAAATAAAAAATAGTTTAGATTATAAGAACTTGGGAAAAGAGATTATGGGAGGGAGTTGATGAATTATATGTCGGTTGGTGGTTCATGTGTAGTGATTTGCGAGACTGCCGAACCAGCTTGGCTGTTAGGTGCCTGGGAGAGGCTCATTCTTGAATACTGTGATGAAAAAAAACGATATTTAAATCCCTTAATTGCTCTCGTTGTGTTTACTCTTTTAGACGTGTTAAAGGAAAAGGTGAAAAAGAAAAAGAAGCTTAAAGGCGTAAGTACATCCGTAGTGCGTTGTGCGTGCATTGCAATTAATTGCAGCATATATAATGTGATCACACACTACTGGTAGCTCGGTTATTCTTGGGTGGATTATCTACATTGTGGATAAACTATGCTCATTCCGGTCTTTCATGCATGACAGTTTAATTATGAGCTGCTCCTCACTTGCTGAGGCTCGGTGACCACAAACGCGTTGGCAAGTAAACAAGTTAAGAATAAAAAAACAATGACAAATTCTATGTCTTAAGGAAAACACTAAGTTCGTTTTCATATCCTAATTTACATGTGTTTAGCATTATTTGTGTTTTATCTGGGGCACCCATCCCACTATTACCCCAGATAATTGAGTTGACTACATTTTTAATAGTATATTCCCTACAAATTATGAAAGAAAAACTCAACGGTTTTTTTTCAGTTTTATGTGACGTGCATAACAAGCAAACCTTGAACCAGTGTTCTGGTCTTTTCAGGTCAACGTGACAGCCATAATGATGCAAATTTACATAAACGCACACGGAGTTTGTACGAACGCTATTTTATTAACCGCACATGGACCCCTAGTTTACTATCTGACCTAGTTTTATGTTTCAGTCTTGCACCCTCACTGTGCACAAAAGGAAATGACAGCGATGAAGAGACGCGCTCGAATGTGGTTCACGTCGTACAATCTGCGTGCTTGGGTTGAGCTGATTTTTTTCTTTTCTTGTTGCGCCCTGGCAGGAAGAGAAGCCTTTCTTCGAAGATGCGCCTTTCGTTGATAAAAACATCACCTTCCCGGACATGAACCTCTCTCGGCCTCTTCTTAAGGTGCTTACTTGTCACTTGCACACGGAGCCCCCTGCTGCTGCCTTTCAATCTAACATCCACGCGTACAATATTTGTTTTATGTCATAGGCACCTCCACGTTGAGCTGTGCCAAAGCACATGGGGCTACAGGCATGCTTTTTTTGTCTTCGTTGCAGGTGTTTAATTATTCCTTATGGGTGTATAATTGTCAATTTCACGTGTCAAGACAAAAAAAATAGTTCCTTGTCTAGCCATATGGACTGTTGGCGCATTGCTGTTTGCGATCTCCTATTAAGGCCAGCATGTCACATGAGGAGATGGTGTGGCTAGCGCCACACTCGACCACCTTTGTCTTCCCGGTGCTGAGGTTTACACACTACACTAGTTTTTCAATGAAGGCCGAGTCGACTTGGAGAAAGCCCAGGATAAGTTTTTGATCTGACTGTATTGATTCTAGCCGTGTTTTTGCAATTAAACTTACTCATGGGCACTGCAGAACAGAGTGGGAACCACTGCACCACCTCTCCCTACAAAACGCCCACGTTCAACTGCGTTTGTCTCGCACCTCTGTGTGTGCGTGTCGTAGGCGATATCCAGCATGGGGTTCCAGCAGCCGACACCCATCCAGAAGTCCTGTATCCCCGTGGGGCTCCTGGGCAAAGACATCTGTGCCTGCGCTGCAACAGGCACCGGTACGCGCGGACGCGCGGTCTCGCACCCTGGGGAAAACGAGCGTTGCGAACATTCTAATTGTTGTTTTTGGGATGCGTCATTGTTGTCGGCAGAGGACAGTGTAGCCTAATCTATTGTTGCATTGTACTGCTCTTCTGACATCAGTGCTCCTCCATCTTCGCCAAACTTCACTGCTCATCGTGGTGAAGTGTCAAATGACCCTCATGACCCGTGGGGAGGCCGTCATCGTGCAGTCAATTGACAAAGCAGCCGTTGGTCATGATAATAAAAATTATTATTTAGCATGCTTGGCTACCTACCGTGCAAAAGTAATTCAACATACATTATATTATTGGCCTGATATTTTTGAAATGCGTATGTGTGTTTGGAACATGTCTGCATTCTCGGATACTGTTTATACACCCACCCACACGCACAGGTACGTGCATAATGCCTACACCAATTCGCTCGCTTGCTCTCCTCTCTCCCCTGCCCAACACCGACCGCGCGTAGGCAAGACGGCGGCGTTCATGCTGCCGGTGCTGGAGCGGCTCGTGTACAAGCCGCGGCAGGCCCCCGTGACGCGAGTGCTCGTGCTGGTGCCAACCAGGGAGCTCGGCATCCAGGTGCACTCGGTGACGCGCCAGCTCTCGCAGTTCTGCAACGTGCAGACCTCGCTCGCCGTGGGTGCGTGACCTCACACGACGGGGGCCAGGAAACTCTCGCTCACCGAGCACCGAATGTGACCTTTGAAATATCTTTGTGGTGGCCTGCGCATTATTAGCACGCGTGCTTTGGAAGTGTGATGGCTAACCATTCAACAAAGACAGTCGCTGCATCGATCGCTATCCGATGCGCTTCTACGGCAGTCTGTAACGCTCTTCCTTTCAATACTAGGAAGCCACTGGAGCTATGCACTTTTAAATCTGGATTGAAAATGTATTTCTTTTAGAACTGATTTTTTTGTTTAGTTTGTTGTCCTTACCCTGCATCTCTGATTACCAAGTTTAACTACGTACGGTGCCAAAAAGGTTTAACATACATACGTTGAGAAGCGTCAAAGATGATGACATTAGAAGGGCTGTGGACAATGCTACTGGCTTCTACTGCCATGCTGGGAGATGGGATTGAACTGGCGACCTCTGGATTGCAAGTGCAGTGTGCTGCTGACCATTACACCACGGCAATATACTTTATGTAAAAACCTTTAGCCCAGGGGTGTGGAAAAAAGAATGTGCGTGTCGACCTGAGTGTAAGCATGAGCTTGCAGCGACCTAAGTGGCTAAACACGCTAAAAGTTGTAACGGTGTGGCTAGGTTGAATATAGCCCCCCCCCCCCCCGCCCCAGGAGCCGATTAGTGTGGCTGCGATTCTTACACTGACAGAAAAATAAAATTTATGGGCAGCCTTTAGAAGTGGTAGCTGTGTGCACGCATGCTGTGTGAAGTGAAGTCCTGGGAAATAAGTTTCCCACCACTGCCCTAATGTGTGTGTGTATACCTGTACGTGCATAGTCTTCTGTGAATGAGACCGAGAAGGTGTGTGCGAATGCATCTCGTACGTGCCTGAGGCTGACTGTGTGTGGGCAGTGTAGTGGTTAGCGCACTGTGCTCCGAACCTGGCTACCCAAATTCAATTCCTACTCATGGAAAACATCAGTGACGAATTATCTGAACCATTCCTAGGGCGACTCGGCCTGAAATGAGTACCTTGTGCAGTGTAAACATCGCCACTGGGGAGACAAAGGTGGCCGGGCGTGGTGTTGGCTACTCATCCCCTCATGCCGTGTTGGCCTTCTTAGGTGCTCGCTAACAGCACTTGCCCCAGCAGTCTGTTAAGGTTATATGGGGCACCTTTGTCTTTTTCTGTGTGTGTGTACGTGTGGTTCTCTTGGTCGCGGTTTTCTCGTCCCCGTGACTCTGCTCTCTTTTCCCCGGCGTCGTCGGCGGCGGCGGCAGCTGTTGTAGCGATGGCCACGTGTGACTCGTGCGCATTTGCGATCAATCCCCCACCCCCCTCTGCACCGCACGCAGGCGGCCTGGACATCAAGACGCAGGAGGCGGCGCTGCGTGCGGGCCCCGACATCCTCATCGCTACACCCGGCCGACTCATTGACCACCTGCAAAACTGCCCGTCCTTTGATCTGAGCAGCATCGAGATTCTCATCCTGGACGAGGCTGACCGGTATCGTCGCTTAAAATTGCACACAGTTGTAATTGGCCCCCGTTTTGCGGTGCCACGGCCTTTGCGTTGTGGGGATTGCAGTCATGGAGACCGTTTTGTGTGTCCAGCCACACCCCGGTGTAATTGCGAGATGCTCTCGCTCCCTTTGCGCAGGATGCTGGACGAGTACTTCGAAGAGCAGATGAAGGAGATCATCCGGCAGTGTTCGCACCAGCGGCAGACGATGCTCTTCTCTGCGACAATGACCGACCAGGTGGGGAGAAGGTGTTGCTGCTGCTGTTGTTGCAAGTAAATGGGTCTGTGTGGGGTCGGTGGTATTGCAGTGGTTTATTTTTATTTTAATGTGATGTCTTTTCCCCAAATTTTTATTCCAAGTCCTTAATCGGTGCCATGTGTTGAGATGATGAAAGTTATAATTTTTCTCAATATTCACATTGAAGCAGTGTAACATTACGCCTTGTTGGAAAACAACTTTTAGAACATGGTGTCAGAAAAGTGCCTCTGAAATCCCATCTTATGCCACACCAGGTGGCGCACCATTTTTTAAAATATCCTGCAATAGATTTGGGGATGGTTGTCATTGTGTAATATGTAATGAATTGCAACCATATTGTAATGATAATATACGGGCTTAACAATGCTGCCTTAATTGTAATTAGAATGTGTCAAATGCCTTGCAATCAACCTGAGAAAATCGGAATATCCCAAATTAAGCTAAACGCCCGCATTTTTGCATGCAACCATTGTCGGCCAGTTTGAGACTTCATCGACTGGTTACAATTCACAACCCGGTTTAATGACTGATAAAACACAAAAATTCCCGTATAGCCTTTGTAGGGCTGTTGGGGCAAGTGTTGTTAGCGAACACCTATGAAAGCTGGCACAGCACACGAGGGCGTGGGTGGTCAGCACCACGCCTGACCGCCTTTGTCTCCCTAGTGCCAATGTTTCACATCGCATTGGGTACTCATTTGAGGCTGAGTCGACCTAGGGGAGGCCCAGGACCGGTTCAGATAATCCTCACCGGTGTTGGCCGTGAGCGGGAATCGAGCTCAGGTCGCCGGGTTCGTAGCGCAGCGTAGCGCTAACCGCTACACCACCGCTGCATGGATCGCACCTGGATTCACACCCAGGGTCTCGGCAGTTCAGACTCCATTGCTGCCCTGATTCATCTCGGCCACCCGGCCGGCCACTGTCATGGCATCTTGACGATCGGCGTCGTTCTCGAAGAACGGGCGATCGTGTGCCGGCGTCGGGGTGAAAATGTTGCCAAATTTCGAAAACTTATTTGCAAATGACTCAATTGGGATTCTACAGCAACCGTCGCCCACTACTGACAGACTAATAGTCGCAGGTCACTCTTTTCAAATTAATCGATCCTTGGTCTCTGGAGTTGTCACATGGTCGAACAAGATACACTTGAAGTTTTCAACTCTACGACCTGGCAACTCCACGATGCCACCTCGGAGGTGCCAAAGAAGCACGCGGCGTCGTTACCCGTCTCTCGGCCACCCGGCCCACCGTAACGGCTGCTTTTTTGACGATCTGCGTCGTTTCTCTCTCTCTCCGACCCGGTGTCTCGGCGAGCCAGGTGCAAGACCTGGCGGCGGTGTCGCTGAAGCACCCGGTGAAGATCTTCGTGAACAGCAACACGGACGTGGCCCCGTACCTGCGGCAGGAGTTTGTGCGAATCCGCCCCAACCGGGAGGGAGACCGCGAGGCCATCGTATCAGGTGCCGCTCAATGCTCGCTTATTTACAGGCGCGGTCGACTCCTCCGTCCATTGCTGTCGCCCGGCCTCGAGCCAAGCGGTGGGCTCTGTGGTCTTGTGCGTGTAACTCAACATTTGGAACGTCGTGACTATAGAGCTGGGTTATATATGATGGAGCGAGTCAACGACTACCGGTCCTCGGTTAGATTCCATCGACTAATTGGGTCGCGTGTAAATAAAAATGGATGGGAGGGGTGATCACAGCGGTGGCTTGGTGCACAGTTTTCCCTCGTTTTTGGACGTTCCGGAGATGGTCGTGAATACGAAATTTCACAGATAACGATATTTTTATGAATTGCCTTAAGTAAATACATATGTAAGCCATTAAATACATTAAAATTATCACATTCTCATCACTTTTATAGCATCACTCTCTCTCCATTTAGATGCAATCGTGTAGAGTTCCAGATGCGATTAGCGGATCGACAAAATCGTGGAAAGCAAGTTTGTGAATAATTATGGAATACTGTACTCGTGTTACATTCAAGTTAATTGAGCGAACAGAGCTGTATAGCCGAGATGATAAAAACAGGGTTTGGCTCGGTGGTCAGGGTGTTCACCTGACTTCTGAGATCCTAGGTTCGAATCTGAGCCGCTTTAATGGTGGTTTCTGTCTGGTCACCAATGACTGCACATTGATACAAAAAACTGCACTTTATTCGGCAAAATTTTCCAGGAAAGGCTCACTGAGCTTTATGGCTCTTTCAGAAGGGATCTGGGCAGAAATTATAGCTCAACGAAGTGGCTTATCTTGTGAAAATGTATATAACTCACGACCTCCTGCAAACCAGACAAGGTAGTTAACATCTCGCTCCCGCGGTGCCCCTTCTGAGCTTGAAAAATTAGTTTTTAGACCATGCAGCAATCTCATGACGGTGTCTGAACGTTCCCCCTCTTGACACGTAGGGCCCACACCGCTCTGTGAGATTTCCGAACTGGATTCGCTGTTTCGTGACATCACACTGATGGTGCAATTGGCAAGAAATTGAGGGAGAGAATAAAATTATTAAAGGGAAGTAACGAGACATTACTAGACGGTGATTATTGTGACAATTCATCACATCTCTGCGAAGGAGTGAGCTGAATGATTACACACAAACTTAAACTTTCAGCCCCTTGGTCAACCTACCGCTTGATGAAGGCCTTTCTGCACTTGATCACGGGGGTTGTTTAATCATACTTCTCCACGCTGGTCAGTGAAGGTCGGTAAAGTAGGGGGCGCCCGAGACCCTTTTGGATATCACTCGCTTTGCTCGGTAATCAAACCCAGGTCACCAGGTTCATAGCGCAGTGCGCTATACACTTTGCCACCACGCCACCCCGCTCGGGGTACATTGATCCATCGATTAAACAACTCGGTTCGTAGGAACAACGTACAGTCGCACGTGCACGTGTGTAAGACTGGATTCTTTTCACGTCATGTGACTGGTGTTGAAAGCTCCCATCTTCCCGCGTGCGCGTGTTGTGTGCGCGTGTTGCGTGCGCGCGCGTGTTGTCCGCTTGCAGCGCTGCTGACTCGCACCTTCCAGGACCACGTGATGGTGTTCACGCAGACCAAGAAGCAGGCGCACCGCCTGCACATCCTGCTGGGGCTGCTGGGGCTGCGCGTGGGCGAGCTCCACGGGAACCTGTCCCAGACGCAGCGCCTGGAGGCCTTGCGGTGCGAACGCGCGTACACGATGCGTGCGTGCACGACGACCCCCGAATAGCCTTTAACAGACTGTTCGGGTACGGGTGCTGTTAGCGGGCACCTGTTAAGGCCAGTACGGCACACGAGAGGGGGTGGGTGGTGAGCAGCACACATTTTTTTCTCCCCAATGCTGATGTTTATACACCGTACCATGTACTTATTTAAGGCCGAGTTGACCTAAAGGAGGACCAGGACCGGATCAGAATTTCGTTACTGGTGTTGGCCGTGAGCGGCAATCGTATTTGGGTCGCTGGGTTCAGAGCATGGTGCACTACCCGCTGCACCACCGCTGCACCACCTTCCCTTTCTAAAAAACACAAACACGATAGAAATGTATCGCAATTGAGCAATGGACGTGCAATGATTACGTTCCCCTTGCGGTTCCGATGAATTATCACGAATCGGGGGGGGGGGGGTAGGTTACGATTCCATTTAAAGAATTGGGTTTTGTTGCTGTTCCGGTGAATGCAACTCCCCTTGCGGTTACAGAGGTCAAGTGAGTTCATCACGCACGGCATAAACATTTCTTTGAAATAGACTCTTCCTCCGTGCAAAGTTCAACATGTACATTGTGCGAGTTTAATCATCGGTTTTTATTGATGAAATGGCACAATTTTACGCCGACTGGGTTGACAAGTTCAGTCTTGGCTACAAGACCTGCGGTCGATTACAGATGTAGTTGTGTAGTTCGTAATGAATTGCAATCTCTATTTCTTGTTATTTGTTATTGCAGTTTATCTCATTTATAATCTATCCCCCAGGTCCTTTAGCTCCACAATCCCATCTCATGCCTCTCACCATCATTGTAGGTTATCAGTACTAAGGATAATAATTTGAATTTATAGGGCACTTAAATTCCTTGGCAACTCAGTGCCTTGCCATCACATCTAGACCATTTCATTGCCATGCTACGGCCTAGCCAAGGCGACCCCCAGTGGTGGATTATCCCGATGCTGCTCAAGGTGTTTAGAAACGTGCGTTTAAAGTATTTGTCTGCTATAAATTTCCTCATGATAAGCTGCGTCGTTGGGCTGTCATTTGTGGACTGGTCGCTTCTGAAAAAAGAGCTATGTAGCTCATTGGGCCTTTACTGGTAAAACAATTCATATTCTTAGCTCTTTCGGTAAAGTCACGTTGAAGGGAAACAAGAAAATAATAAAATATATATAAAACAATAAAAATTCTCACGACGTTTCGACCATAACACAAACGGTCATCAGGTGTGTCGGTCTGCATTAATTAATTAATTTGTAGCCGGTGCATTTATTTATTAAAAAAAACGTCAGCGCCACGCGCATCGATTTGCAGTTTATTTAGAAGGACTAGTCCATCTATGTTCTGAAAAGAGGAGGGGGGAGAACAATCAATTAAGACCTGAAATGGTTTATCAAATCTTTCCAATGATTGCTAAGCCAGAATCCATCTTCTCGGTTGAAATTGTCTCTGTGCTTGTATATGTGGATAGCCTCGTGAACGAATATCTCATGGTAGCTTTCGTGACTGCAGGGATTCATATTATTGGTTCTTTCGGTAAAGTCACGTAGAAGGGAAACAATAAAATAATAAAAATATAAAACAATACAATTTTCATGACGTTTCGACTGCAACACAAGCAATCATCATCAGGTGTGAAAACCACAGCAAGACAATTTGAAAAAAGTGACAAGTTTTCTTGCTGTGGTTTTCACACCTGATGATGATTGCTTGTGTTGCAATCGAAACTTCGTGAGAATTGTATTGTTTTATATTTTTATTATTTTATTGTTTCCCTTCTACGTGACTTTACCGAAAGAACCAAGAATAATAGTTTAGTTTATAATTTAGTTGACTTTACAGCGCTGGCCTGCAAAATGTTTTTTTCTGGCAGTAGGGCGCGATGTCTTAGCATTCTGTTCAAGATGAAAGTGGAATGTCTGTTGTTACTGTTGCTCTGCGCAGGAGGTTTAAGGACGATCAGATTGACATTCTGGTGGCAACGGACGTGGCGGCACGTGGTCTGGACATCGAGGGTGTCAAAACCGTACGTAGTCCTCTGTGTAAATCTTGCACGCTCGGCAATCCCGTTCCGCGGTGAACGGGCGGCACGTTGTAGCCGAAGGGCCTCGTTTTATTGACTTGGCTCCTTTCGCTGCCAGATCACCATCGTCATTGGCCTTGATCTCTCAACGACGGCAAGAAGGCTTCTCCCAAGTTATTGCTGTCTCTCAGTTGTTGTGATGTAAAATATTCATCTAGGGCCTACTACACTTCATCTCCAGCAGTAGACAATTTCTTCAGCGTGTAACCTCTTTATTTTATTCAGCTGCCACTCTGTGATGAGATATCACCTGCCCAAGCCCACTTAAGTCAATATGATGTCTCTGACATGCATGCGCTCTGATCCAAGTATCTCCTCTTCCCTTCAGCGTTATTACAAGCGACCACAACCTCCTCCGCGCTGCTTTGCGCAATTTTCAGCGCTTGTTCAATTTTCCCCTCCCGAAAGTCCCATGTTTCTGATCCGTGGAACCCAGCGGGAAATAAAATAAAAACCGCTGAAAACCATTTTGTTTCTTCAGGCACGCTGGCAAGTTGCCAGCTTGCAGTTGAGAAATTATTTTGCGCCTGAGTCTCGTTACCTGCCGTGCCTGCTTTACCGCTTTGTGGCTGGGGAAAGAAGGTGCCACATTATCGCTCGGTTGGCGGAGAGGAACGTAGATCCGTGTCTTGACTACGACGACGGATTTGGAAATTCTTTATCGCGGATGTTTGCATGCGATCCATGCACACAATATCAGATTTGTCATGCATATCAGATCATGATTGTGCAGGACAAATCTAACTGCGTGCATGGAGCAGTGGCGCAGTTATTAGTGCACTGTGGTGCAAACCCTGCGACGTGAGTCTTGGTTCACATTCGGGGCTAACATCAGTGGCGAGCTATATCAAGAACCGGCCCTGGCGTCTCCCACCCGCCCTTTTCCCTCCTATTGGTCTACTCACACTGACGAGCATGGACTGACAGAGGGGTGTAAATCGTGAAACCTTTCCCGCAGCTGTGTACGTATTCTTGAGCCTCTGTCACCAGGAATGTGTGTTGTGTCACCAGGAATGTGAGGTGTGTAATGTGTCACCCTCCGAGCAGTATTACGCTTCAAGGTCCCAATTCCATTCAGGAATCGATCGTTTTGTTGATGATATTAATGATTGGGATGCATCGCCGTTGACCGAGTAAACGGGTACATCCCAAAGAAAGCGGGCTGGCACGACGCGCAATAAGCCTGCCCGACGTTGCGAACCCCCGCCCTCTCGCAGGTCATCAACTTCACGATGCCGAGCACCATCAAGCACTACGTGCACCGCGTCGGGCGCACAGCGCGTGCCGGTCGCGCCGGCCGCTCCATCTCACTTGTCGGCGAGACGGAGCGTCGGGTCCTCAAGGACATCGTCAAGCAGGCCAGATCCACCGTCAAAAGCCGCGTTTTGCCGCCAGGTACGCCGCCCTGACCCCCCCCCCCCCCCCCCCCCCCCCCCCGGCAACCTCCAACGCTGTGCCCCCTGCATTGTGGCTTTTTATGTATTTTGAACTTCGTTCGCATCGTACATAGCCAACCGTGCTAATCAGAGGTGCGGGAAAGGATAACAAACTAACACACACAAAATGCAGTTCTGAAGAAATTAGTTTTCAATCTAGGTGATTTGAAGGTACTATAGCTCCAGTGGCTTCCTAATATCGGAATGAAGAGCGTTCCAGACGGCCGCAGATGCACATCTGAAAGCGCGCAATGCAGTGACTCTCTTTGTTCGATGGCCAGCCAAAATCCAATGGCTATGAACATCTTCAATTATCCACTCACTGCTGGAACCCAGGAGGCCTTCGTGTCTAGTAGTGGATCGATGGAGGGCTGCACATTACGATTGTTATTTGTTATTGTTTCATGAAAAGTTGGTCATTAAGCTGAAGTGGTCAAGGCTTTGGTGGTGTGGTTTGCCCAGATATTTTTGCTTTAAGAGTTTGATTATCTTAGATCGTATGCTGAGAAAATAGTAACAACTGCTCCTAATATATTTTGATCGTATCTTATTCATTTTCTGGAAAAATACCCAAAATATGTTTTTTCGGACTTGGTTCAGTTGCTAAGAAACTGATATTTTTTTTCCGTAGAATATTCGATCAGCTGACGAGGACTATTTTTTTTAAGTGTAATCGATTAATCTGTCTAGCTGCGAACAAAAACAACAACGTGTATTAGTAATGCACCCATAAGAAATACGTCTCGGAGTGTAAATATAATGGGAGGGGGGGGTGGGCAAGGGTAGGAGAGAAAGGAAGCATCTCACTCGCCCACTCAGTCGATTACTCTCTCACTCTCTACTCACTTACCCACTTGCTCACCCATCCACTCACCCTCCAACCCACGCACCCACTTACTCGAAGGAAGGAAGGAGGGAAAGGAAGCGATTAAGGGGAGATCCGAAGGCACGGTGTTGAAGAGAGGAAGGAGTTGAGAGGTGGGAGACTTGAAAGTGGAGAGTGAGGGGAACCATGTAGAGGTGCCTTGGGGAGGAAGTTCCAGAGGGTGGCAGGTTATCTGCCGCTGCTACTGCTGCATGGCCGCAACAACGTGCGGCTGTACCTGCAGAGGTGGTGGAGAAGTTCCGAGCTAAGATTGAGAACATGGAGAAGGACATCTACGCAGTGCTACGCCTGGAGCGAGAAGATAAAGAGCTCTGCGCCTCCGAGAACCAGGTATGGAATATTGTTACAACGTGCGCGTGTTGAGCTTCTTTCGCACCGTACATAGCCAACCTTGCTAATTGGAGAACTGAATGGGAATCCTGTGCTTGTCGATTTTGTTGCAACTTGCGCATCTTATGTTTCTTTTCTTGATGTGATTGTGCCAATTCGTACACCTCGGCAGCTTCCTGGCTGTGAATTATTATAATGATCAACCTTGTCCAGGAAGCCTATGGGCAACCCTAAATCGCATCGACGCAAACGTGGATACTTGCACAAATGTAAAAATAAAGAAATGCTCTCTCCAGCGTGTGTGACTGGGTCACCCAGACCAGAACCATGGAACATATAACGACTCAATGCCCGAGTCACAAATACAGCGATGCACCACTCCGCCACTCTGACGCAATTATCTGACTCAACCACCTCGATGTCAAAATTATCGTTGTTGCCCCTACATCAACACCAGCCATACGGAGAAGAAGATTAATTATTGTTACGATGTTTGGTGTTGCGGTGCAGCTCAGTAAGGCGCAGAAGCAGCTGGACGGAACGGTGCAGGACGAGGCGGCGAGGACCTGGTTCCAGACCAAGAAGGAACGCATGCAGGAGAAGGGTGAGCACGTCAGAGCACCGCTGGTTGGAACACGAGCTTCATGCTACCGCAAGCGAACGGACTCCACCACGCTTTGGGCTTCCACCTGTTTGAATTGAGGACAGTGAATTTAAATAATAAGCGGCATGTGCCGCTTCGCCTCTTGATCTTTAATTCATTCGTTTGGCGGGTCATCTTACAGTTGGGCACGCGCGTGTGTATTTAACCAAGTGCCTGATGTGTCACGTTATCATCGGTGCTGGGGAAACGATGGTTGCCGGGCATAGTCCTGGCCACAAGCACCGCTTCGTGCGTCGTGTTGGCATTCGTGGATGCTAGCCAACAGCAGTTGCCTCAACTGTGTCGCTAACTATAGCCGGGGATCTTTGTCGTTTTGTGTAGCCAAGAATGCATCACAATGACGCACACTCGCAGCAGTGGCGTAGTGTTTAGCGGACTGCGCTACGACCCCGGTGACCTGGGTTCAGTTGCCGGTCACGGCTAACACCAGTGGAGAGTGACCATCAGAATTGGTCCTGTACCTTAAAGAAGTACCTTGTGCGGTGCATTAACACCGGAATTGACATCGGTGGCCGGGCACTTACGCTGGCCTCACAAATCTCGTGCGCCGTTTTGGCCTTTTTAGATTCTTGCGAACAGCCCTTGGAATCTATTTCTTTTCTTCTCCCATCCCTAGCCAAGAAGGCGCTGCAGCAGTACGACACGGCCCTGATGGGCAAGAAGAAACGGCAGGAGCACGTGAAGGAGCTTCGCAAGAAGCAGCAGACGGTGAGGCCCGGTGCCCCCCCGTCGCTACGACGACGACGACGCACGGTGTCTCCTTGCATCCACAAATAAGAACGTGAAAATTTACAAATTGGGTCGGTCGTGCCGCGTGTGATCGTGGTCACCATTTTTAGTACAAGGTGCCCCTGGGAGCTGCAGAAGCAGACAATTCTGGCCTCAGATTTGTTCATCCTGACTAGGGTTGTCTCAACCCCTGAGGGCGGTAGCAAGGTGTTTTAGCCCGCTGCCAAAGCCAGTCTGCTAGAATGCGCAAAAAGCGAATGTTGTCCTACTGACGTCCGTTTTGAGCAAATTTCCTAAGGATTTTTTTTTTTATCATGTTATGGTGACGGCATGGCCTCAGGCGGCGACATTGCTTAGCGATGCGCAATTCCTTTTGTCTATTATATTAGTGCCTGTCGCGTATTTCCTTTGGGGGTATAATAGATGCTGGCTATAAGCACGCCTTATAGAACTAGAGTTATGATTTAAGCAACACATGTTTACCGTACACTGATGGAGGGTGAGAAGGCAAAGGGCAACTTCTGATACAAGCACACTTCGGATAGAAGCACAGCTGGCCTTACTCCCAAGAAAAAGTGAGTGTCCCTATATCCACAGTCGACTGCGGTGACCTTGCGGGGGGATTGATAATGTTATCGTTTTGGGGCACTTTTCGCAAGTCGACGGTTTTATTTTTGTAATTTGCTTTGGTTATGCTGACCTGACGGCGGTTGATGACTTCTGCCGATGTGTGTGTGTGGTGGGGATTGTGGCGGTTAGCGCTGCGCTACGAACCCGGCACCCCGTCTATTCCCGCTCACGGCCAATACCAGTGACGATTATCTGAACCGGTCCTGGGCCCTCCCCGAGGTCGACTCAGCCTCAAATGAGTACCTGGTGTGTGATGTGTAAACATCGCCACTAGGGAGACAAAGGCGGCCGGGCGTGGTGCTGGCCACCCACCCCCTTGTGTGCTGTGCCGCCCTTCATAGGTGCTCTCAAACAGCACTTGCTCCAACAGTCTGTTAAAGGTTTGTCTTTGCTTGTGTGTGTGTGTGTGCGTGTGCGCTTTGGCCGCCGTGAGCAGCCCGAAGACCGGGCCCAGTTTGAGATCGTCAAGGCGCAGATGTACGCCGAGCGCATGATGAAGCGCAGCCGCAAGCCCAAGAGGGCTCGAGTCATGCCGGAAGACGTGCCCCGTCCCAAAGGTACCTCGCGTTCAGCACACACACGGTAGCGGAAAGACGGGAAGGGCAGGGGCAAGGGGACAGCAGCCGCTTCCAGATTGAAAACGAATTTCTTTAGAACTGCTTTATCGTGTTTAGTTTGTTGTCCTCCCCCCCCCGCACGTCCGATCAGCAAGGTTGGCTACGTAACGGTGCAAGAGAAGTTCTACACGCAGACGCACATATACAGCCAGACCCAGATGCTAGCGTTTTGGGACCCACTTTTTTTAAATCGAGCAAGTGGGCGTTGAACGGCACTGGTTTCTGGACCTCGAACATTGGGCGAGGGTTGAAGCTCTTTACCATTCGGACGGTTTCGTTGACTCCATCGGTGTAAATACAACGCCACATCGAACATATCATTTGCATTTGTCGATTTTTCACACGTGCAACTTTATCGGTGGACCGTTGTGTCGGCTTGAAGGTGTTTTTTTTCGATCGGTGAATCCGTGCCTTTGGTTGCACGCCGACCTAGGTGGAGGAGGGAGTACCCAGAGTGGTTTTGGAGCAAGTTGAGTCAACTGTCTCGTGCCCACTCGTTCCCCAGTCCTGCTTTAGATCCCGACCCTGACGCCTGGTGTATATTTGGAGTTTGCATATCTCCATGTCCTCGGATGTTCTCTCCTTATTTAGACACGTGCATTGAGATTTAGCTCATTTTGCTGCTATAAATGTCCAAATGATGGGCCACTTTTTGTTGAGCTGTCAATTGTGGGCAGGTCGCTTGAAAAATAAGTTAGTGCCTCGGTGGGCTTTGCCTGGTAGGATCTGGGATGGTTTAGTTGTTGTGTTTGGGGGATTTGTTTACCTTTCTTGTTCTTTGCACTAGTGTTTCTTGTATTTGTTGTTGTAACGTTCTTACCCGCCCCCTACTGGACATCTGTGAAAAAGAGCTTTATAGCTCATCGGATTCCTCCAGTATAATTAAATATTCCGATTCTGTGATTCTATTTTGGTCCATGGATTATTAGCTTGCGCAACGGCGAATGGGATGGCTGTTATGAAATAGATCGCCGTTATAAAGGTTGAGCCTTGATGGTGCTCGTATGAGAAGCTCACCGTGCAGGGCGCCAGGTGTTATAGGCTTTAGACTGCAGGGATTGGCGGTGGGGGAGGTTTGTCTGGGGCTGTGGTGGGCAGCAGAGGGCAGCGCTGGAAAATTCACTGTTGTGCTTTACTTCACGCATCGTCCATACTTCCCATCGTCACTAACCCGCACAGACCGGCGTGGTGAAGTATGGTCAAGTAACCCCCGCGGTTGACCCGTACGGAATGGGGAGGATCTTCATCCAGCATTGGATTGACGGAGAAGGGTTGTACGTGTAACAGTGTTGGTGTCGCTAGGCCGGGTTGTATTCATCTGGAGAGCTCAAAGCAACCGCAGCACATTGATTTGACGTGTAATAAAAGTAGTGTCCATGATTTCAATTGGTTTTCATGTTCGGGCAGATCGAGGTAGACTGACGCAGTGGAGTGCAATTTGCATATTAACCATAGTTAATTTTCTCAACGTGTTCAGTGAAGTTGTGATGCTAGGCAAGATGGGAACAGCAGGGGGTGCACTTTCCTAAAGAGCTTGTGCTTTTGGTTTATGGACGGACGACCAGTGCTGCGTGGAGTGGTGGTTGTATTTTGCGGCTTATTAAAATGTCCACACGCAGGAAACCAATTGGCAATTGGCTCCCGACAATGCGTAGGTTTTTTTTTTTTTTTCGAAATAACACGATAAGCATCGTCTATATCCGATATGTTTGTACGTTTCGTCGTTTTAGTCATGTTCTGGGAATCGCATTTCACAAGATGTCGCGTGCGAAATTTCAGGATGCAAGCAACTTAATGACAACTTTTCTCATCCTGTCCACTTTCCCCTCTGCCCCCCCCCCCCACCTCCTCCTGTCCACTTTGTTCCTCTCCTCCCCCCCCCCCCCCCTCGGCGTTGTTTTTTTTTTTCTGAACGGTGAACAGAAGACACACGCCCCACCAAGATCGCCACGTTTGACCGGGAGCTGACCAACACGAGCCGCAAGGCCCTCAAGCAGTACCGCGCCGGGTGAGCGACCGTGTCACGGCACTAGCGCGTGCTGGACATCTGTGAAAACTACTGGACATATGTGAAAAAGAGCGGCGTAGCTCATCGGATTCCTCCAATATAAAGAATTATTCTGATTCTGATCTGACTCGCAATTCGAAGATTTGCGAGTTCAACTTCCTGGTTGAAGGTTGACTTCATAATGTTATTGGCTCGATGAAATGGGTTACCATTGTTTGCGGGGAAGTCGACAGTGGTTGTCCTGTGGATGGACTCGTCCCCTGCCACAGGAATATGGAAATTTCACCACTGGCTCAGGGCTGTAAAATGAAGATGAGCACCGTTTCAATGCGCTTTTGGACAGGAAATAACTTTTGACATTTTATGATTCAGCAAACACACACCCACAGCTTTATAAATATATTCCATACACACATCTGCTTCAAATCAGTCAAAGATGGACAAACGCAGATTGTGTATTGTTATTGTTTCTGTTTGCCCATTAAACGTTTGTTTTTAACTATCTTTTGTAATATATATTGTGCCGTGCCGCCACCCTGTGTTTTTGCATGCCCCCCCCCCCCTCTTTAAACAAACCCACGCTGCTGCAGGGGTTGCGTTTTGATTTGTCGATTGTTGTTTGTCGTCTGCGCGACCGTTAACACTTAATCACGTGGCCTGAGACTAAAAATCACCTGCCACTTTCCTATGTTTGCCACCGTTTGGAGGTCAGTGGTGCGGGCCGTTGAAACTCCCGCTGTGTCATATTGAATGAAGCTAACGTCTGTCTGCATGTTCTGCTGTGTCACATTGAAGCCCGACGTTTGACGAGCGCAAGAAGCTCGGGATGGACACCCGCAGGAAGGGCGGAAAGTTCAAGTCCCAAGCCCGGTAAGTGTCTCCCCGTCTTTAAGATTCTCTTGGTAGGGTCTACTGCACTGAGATGTTTGGCCAGTTGCATTAACGGGTGGCTACGTGTGGGAGGAAACTGGAGAACATGGAGACAACCTGCTTGTAGGAGGGCATAATACGAATTGGGGGTGGAGAGACCCTTTCCAATGATGGGAGTTTTTCTGGCCGACTGTAAATCTATTTTTATGCAGTAAATGATCATGTTAAATTAAAATTACACTCAATCAACACTTATATGGTTTTAACACTTATATGGTTTTAACACTTCATAACTATTAACTGAACACTAACTTTATAATCATTAACATATTTTTTACTGTTTTATAGCAAATTCATGTCCTTAAACGAGAGTGTGTGGTTACCAAAGACTGCATTGCGCGCTTTCAGATGCGTTTCTGCGGCCGTCTGGAACGCTCTACTACCTTTGAATATTGTGAAGCCACTGGAGCTATGCTCTTTTAAATCTCGATTGAAAACTCATTTCTTTAAAACTGCTTTTTTGTGTTTAGTTTGTCCTTCCCCCCCACACACGTACGATTAGAGCAGTTGGCTACGTACGGTGCGAAAAAGGTTATACATTCATACGTACTAGCAGGTGTAGTGGAGCGTGATCGGTGATCCCCGTGCCCTTGGGGTGTGGGGTGGCGTATGGATTGACCACCGTGTCCTGTTGCACACGATTGCTTTTGCGCTTGAACAGCGTTCAGGCATCATTTTTTTTGTATTCAGAGTCTTTCCGGCAGACCCCTTATTCTGACCCGACCAAGTCCAGCTTCGATGGTGTGTTTACCGCGTAGGGTGTGTTTACCGCGTAGCGTGAATGTATGCTGGATTTCTCTCTGGCAGGTATAAGAGGAAGTGATGGCGTTCACTCGAAGAGGGAGGGCCTGGCGTGCTGGGTGGCGGTGGGCACATTCTGACTTAAGCCCAGTGCTGACCCAGCCCTTGGGCTTCGTGTTTGCCACCCAACTTGGACATTTCATTCCATCCACACACGATCCAATCAAGACCCGACCACCTTACCTGCGTTATCCATTTAGGTCCACTAATCTTCTTGTGATCAGTTTCCATCAATTGTGAATATTGTTGTTATTTTAACTTGGCAGAGGGCCTGTTGTTTTGATCGGATGCGGCCCGTTCAGATTTGGTCACTTTGTACAATATGCCAATCTGGATTAAACTTATTTACTTATTTTTTTATTATACCAGGTAAGGCCCATTGAGCTATAAAGTTATTTTTCAGAAGCGACCTAGCTACGATTGATAGCTCAACGAAGTGGCTTATCATCATGTGGAAAGTTATAGCAGCCAAATACTCTAAAAGCATGTTTCTAAATGTGGTGGGCAAAACCGAAGGACCCGGAATAAAATCCACGTGACCACGGTGAAGAACATGCAGACTTAAAATTTACAGGCATTTATTTATATAATATATATAAAATATTTTCCGTTTGGCACGTTCTGTGGCAGCCAGGCATGAAAACATCCGCAGATCCTAATTGACCTTGCCATGTTTTTGCAATGGATAGGGACACGGCACAATTCACGACTCGATTGCCATCGTTTATAAAGTGGGGGGGGGAGCGCAGCGTGTAAATGTTTAATAGGGGCAGCGTGCATGTGTGTGCGCGCGCGGGGCATCTGTGTTCGGCATCAAGTTGTGCTTTTGTACTATACGATTCACGCCCGTCCTGTGTTTCATTAAAATAAACACCGGCTTGTTCGTTCTGTACATGTGTTCTCGGCGTATGTTAAATGGTGATGTATAAAGGTCACAAGCAATTGTTGGTTGCGTGTCAGTGCCTAGGGGCTATGGAAAATGTGTACGTCGTGAACAGTTTTGCAATGAACCCGATGTTATCTGGATGGGGTGCTTCAAGCTTTTGTTGGCTTTTAACGTCCCTAAGGCAAAGGTTGAGCATTGGTGCCTGACGGTGCAGCTCAATTTGTCGCAGGCGCTTCCCAAGCCTTAATTGATAATTGCGTTAACGAGCTGAAAAATATCGTCGTGTGCACCGCGCACGCAGAACTCGCCAACGCGAGTGCTTGTTGGTCGCGGCAAAGTCACGGTGACCTTGGGTATCAAGTTTTTCATGGTTTAGTTCCTTGGGGGGGGGGGGGGGGGGGCGGTGTTATCCTCAATTTGAAACCTGTAGGAGGCAATTTTGGAGTTAATATGGCATGAAGGGGAATACAAGTTTGGCTGTTTTATTTTTCATTTTGTTTTTTCCACCGGATTTAGTTTGTTTCAGCCGGCAATATCAAATATCCACCGCTTACTTCATTGGTTATGTTTAGATGGCATACATTACTTTTATTTACATGTTTTTATCATGGTAATACAGGTTGTTTGGCGTGGTACATTGGTTAGCACTGCGCTGTGAACCTGGCGACTTGAGTTTGATTCCTGGCCACGGTTAACATAAATGGCTCGGTGATATCTCGACTGATCCCTGAAGGACCTCCAATTCCCTTCGTCCCACGCTCACCTAACATGAAGCATGGTCAAACAGCCTCCATGACTCAACCTGCGTGGTCAATCCAGCAGTGGATTGTCAAAAGGGCCATATGTTTTTGAATGCACAGATTGTTACGATTCCACTCTGTTTCAGTGCTGTGAGATATCTCCATGCCAAAGATGTCTGTGTTGTATAAACACTGACGATGGTGTTTAAATTATATGGTTGCTAAAGTATGCAAGTCATGAAATACCAAAACTTTTGTGTAAATCAGAACTTTAATCAACATTGATTTGAGCATAGATGTTGTCTTGAAAATGTGTTCTATTTGGTTTTTCGGCCAAGTCACGTAGAAATAAGAAATACTAAAATTACATAATAGCATACTACATAATAGCATACGACGTTTCGATTGCAACGCAAGCAATCATCAGCACAGAAGAGCTATTATGCAATTGTATTATATCTTATTTCTACGTGACTTTACCGAAAAACCAATGAGTAATTCCTGCAGTCACGGAAGCGCCAAATCAAATGTGTTCTGTTTGTAGATCAAGGCAGCAAATACAAGACTCATTTTTATCTTGATGCATTAATCTCGTACTTGTATATGCAAGCAGTCATTGTGTTCAATCACATGGTCCATCTGTTCATGTGTATCGGCTGTCTTCAGAAGTAACACATTTGTAACATGTTGGGATCATCAACTTGTAGAGGCTTGAGAGCCATAATGTTACCTGGACCACGCTGTGCGATGTGCTCTGGGAGACTGTTTCTGAAGATGCCAAGAATTCCACTTCTCCAAAGTTGCGTTCAACCCTTCCTCATGGGCATACAAAGAGAAGGCAACACGCTGAGAAGTGTACAACGATGCACAGAGACGTACGTGCTCTTTTTGTTGCGCAGTGGCAGCCAAAGGGCAGAGCATATTGTACCAGAGAGGGCATCCATTAATTAAAACTGCGAGCTAGTTGCATCGCAAGACCGAGAGATGGGAGACCTAAATCCACCAGTGGATACATCATGGCTGACGACGGAATATATTTCTTGCGGTTGTGTGTGTGCACGTTAAACGACATCGTATAGGAACGTCACGTGACATGCAGGGCAGGGCTGTGTTCTGGTATGAACTCTTTCCCGACTGTGTGGCTGTGACCAAGCCGTACCGGTTCTAGACCAGGGGGCCGTTTGCGAGCCGAATGACATCGTTATCTGCCGGGTTGATCTCGTGTCCAGCGGCCTCATGAGCTGGTGTCGGCAAAGTGACCTGCTCAAATTGCATCTTGATGTCACTGCTTTTGTGAAGGCTAGTATTTAGTTTGTCGAAAACAGGACGTAGATTTTTTCCCTCGGGAATTAAAAGTGCGGCATTAAAAACACCGCACTTATGGTGTAAATTTTTTTTATACAATTTTGGTGTGGAGGGAAAAACGGTTATGGTAATCCTTTTTCAATTCTAAAAATATACACCGTTCTCGCGTGAACGAATTATTGTTACATATTAATGAACTTCGGTAGGAAAATTCTCAATTTAGGTTTGTGAATTGGAGTGTGTGTTTAACTTCTTTCGCACCATACGTAGCCCTCCGAACTGCATGTTGTGTGGCTCTGCTGTGCACACTGTCCTTCAAACCCAGCTACCTGGGGTTCAATTCCCGGCTATAGCTAAAGGAGACACAGGTTAAAAATGGTTACAATGTCGACCAGTGGCATCTTAATCTCAGGAGTTACCCTCACCCCACTGCATGTAATCCATGCGGAAAGGTGTCGCTCAAATGCAGCCCTTGCTCGTCACAAGGGAGCTCAACGGGAATGAAACGCTCCAACCACCGTAAGACGGACTGCATTATGATGCTTAATTCATCCATACAACATGTTTTTTGGGTTAGGAGGAAATGGGAGGACTCATCCACAAATCTGGCCATCGCCTGATGAAGCGAGTTGTAATCACTGGCGAAACGTCGTACTCTGTAAATGTTGTGGCTGGGCTCTCCAACACACCGGTGTGCTGTACTCGTAACGAATTGACATGTTCTGTTTACGTGACGAACCTTACTAGGTGGTTGTGTCTGGTGGTGGCGGGTTTAACGACATTTACGCGATCGAACCACACCTGTACTATGGATGATATTGGTCGCGAAAGCCTACGTGTTAAGCTTAAGTCGGTTATATTTCCGATGTGAACCTGGGCATACTCATAGGTTTAGACAGGTGTGTAGACAACTGGAGAGACCGTGGCGGCTCTGTTCGTGGTTTGTGCCGTTTAGGGTCACTAAGGTCATCATTAACAGCACTTGCCTCAACAGACCCATGTTGGTTACATGGGGGGTGGGGGGGGGAATGTGTGGGTGTTTTTTGTTGTTGTGCCACTGATTGAATTCTGCCCTCGGATTACCGAGCCAGCACTGCCGAGGCTCTGGGGTCAAAGTCGGGCAGCTTGCACGTGGATTGAAACTGGTTTCTCAAGTGTCGTGAGTTTACGGTCTCATCAGTTCCGTCGCCAATGACTGTGCACGCACACACACACAAATTACATTAGCTTCGGTTTTTTTCCCACTGAATTCGGTGTTAATCCATCTCTCAAGAATTAAAAGTTTAGTTTAACATAGGTTTTCCTTCGCAGGGAATGTAAAGTGTGTGTGAGACTCTGTTCTGTCTTAACATTGCTCACCGAATATTGAATTGTCCATTTATTTCGTGGCACGATGGTAACGGCTCAGCCGAATGTCAATGGAATGGGGAAAAATAATCTCGTCGGTGCAGGCAATTGTGACGGTCTGCCTTCATCGTCATCTGACGAATTGTCGCGATTCGATTAGCAGATTATTATAATATTTTTGCCCTAGTGACGAATGTTAGTGCGCCTCTTTGGCTGCTGCAGGTTTTACCTGAGCCGTTCGCAACGTGTACAAATCAATGTTCACATGGACCATTCGATACTCCTATTGGGAGACCCAAGAATCGATTTTAATTGATGCGCTTGTCGATGCCTGGGAATGGCTGAAGAAGTGTTCAGGCAAGCATGGAGAGGTGCCTTGAGTTTCCACCTGAGCGACAGGAAGGGGGTTACACGTGGATTAGAGGTCATACACAGTCAAGTAATTGACTTATTTTACCAGGCAAAGGCCCACTGAGCTATATAGCTCTTTTCCAGGAGCGACCTGGAAACGCATAATAGCGCAACGAAGTGGTTTAGCATACGTACATTTAAACGCATGATTATAAATGTGGAGGAAAAAAACCGAAGGACCCGGATATAAATGCATGCGACCATGGGGAGAGAAACACGCAAACTCCAAATATACAACAGGCGTCGGGATTGAACCCACGACCTGTATACCAGGCGAGGCAGTCAACATCTCGCCACCGTAGGTTTTAGCAGAGCACAGTCACTGGAAGAGGTGGCCTTAGACAACGCCCTCCGTGCAGGAGCTGAACAGATTGTTTTTCAATCGTGAGACATGAGAGATGACGATGGTCGTTAGTGGATAGATCGTCACGGCTGTGAAGATGAACCAGGGAATAATGTAGTTCATCGCAGAGGTTGTAGCACTCGCACCAACCACACTTGTGTCTCCAGGGCAGAGATGATTTCCCAAGCGAAATGCTGAGGGAGGGTGGCGTTTGTGCACAGACTGCCCTACATGACCTCATAACAACAGTCTGGATCACTGGACGGGTTCCGCAAGACTGGAAGGATGCCCTGGTGGTCCCCATCTTTAAGAAGGGAGACCGCACAGACTGTAACAACTACAGGGGCATCTCACCCCTCAGTGTGCCGGGAAAGGTCCTGGCAAGGATTATTCAACACCGCCTTGCTAGGCACGCTCAGGAGAGGCTTGCGGAGTCCCAAAATGTGGTTTCAGGAAAGGGCGGTCCTGCACAGATGCCATATTTTCTGTCCGTAACTCACAAGGCATAACCGCCATCGAGCAAAATCTGGTCATCCTCGCAGCGGCTTTTTTCAAACAAAGACGGTCACTGCATCGCGCACTTTCAGATGCCCTTCTGCGGCCGTCTGGAATGCTCTTTCGATAATGGGAAGCCACTGGAGCTATGCAATTTTAAATCACCGAGATTGAAAATTATTTAAAACTGCTTTTTGTGATTCGTTTGTCCGTCCCCCTGCCGCAGCTTTTAGCGCGGTTGGCTATAATCATTGCGAATTAAGTGCAACATTCATAGGAGGCAAGATCACCCAAACACGTTCCAGCTTCGCTGCGTTTTATTTTTCGTGTTTTTTTTATGCATCTCACAAGCAACATGATACAGCGGTTTTCATCACATTTAATTATGCAGAGAAAACAACAACGCACAAAAAAGGGGCACGTGCACACTCGCGTGTACGTGGACGCTGCGGGTTTACAATGGGGGTGGTCGTTTAAAGCAACGGTAACATGACAAACTTGTCCGTATTTCTAAAACATTTCAACAAAGCAAACCCCCCCCCTCCCCGTTACAATTTTTTTAAATAAATCACGTGAATTCAACTCAAGTGTGACGTTAGGCAGGTGAAGTTATATAAAGTAACTTGTTCTCAAAACGTTGAACCGTCCCGTTTATGAACCAACCCACATTAATTCAGTGCCGTGATTTATTGATTACAACTGATGTCTCGTGCGGGGATCTTGGCAGGCTTTTTTAAATTTGGAAATTACGTTGGGCCAACATTGGTTCAGTGGTTCCAACCTCATGCCAACGTTGGCACCAAAGTTGGCTTGTCGAGTTGTTATGGGGGTTATGTGGGGGGGGGGGGGGGGGGGGATTTTGTCCATCTGCGCTTGCCTTCAATGATTTAAAGCATAAACCTAGCAGTAATGGGAATCTAAAAGCCTCGCTGTGCCTTGCTAAACGGTGCAGCGTGTTTTCCAACAGCTTTCATTGGCACATTTCCCCAAGACACGTGTTCCGCTATCCCATCTGTTTTATATTTTCTACGCAGAGTTGAAGCCAAAAAACCAAGCATACACCTTTCACAAAGCCCCCGTGTGGTGAAGAAAGCCCCCGTGTGGTGGTGCGTGCGACGATATGTGGGGGAGCTTCTTGTGACGATGAGACACGTGTGACCATCTCGGCAGGACTGAATTGGCATTGGCGCTGTACTGAAAAATCCCACTGCTTTGAAAGACACTGCTGTAAGGGGAACAAAAACTACTTAATTTTGGAATCCAGAATATTAACTACCCAAAATATTAAAAAATGCTGATGCTGAAGAAGCTCCCAGCGTGTGGAATGGAACATTGTGCAGGACGACACGAGGCACAACTGGAAAATACACAGCTATAATTTACAATCATTTGTTAATCTGCTGATGGATGAAGGCCTCCCAATCCTGTCATGTATGTGTTTTTTTTGCCATACTTCACAATGGTCAGTGCAGGTTGGCAAAGAAGGGGGAGGGAGGTGCATCTAGGATTGGTTCAGTTATCTCTCGCCGCTGATGTTAGCCCGTGACCAGATATCAAACTCAGGTAGCCGGGTTCATCGCACAATGTGTTGTACCCACACACCATATGTGCAACTCTACTGCTAGACGAGAGCTTTCCTGCGCTGGTGCAGATCATTTTACCATACTTCACGCTGGAATAAACTCCGATTGCGGTCGGGACTGCTGCTGATTTGGCTGCCGAGTTATTTTTTGGGGGGTGCGGGATGAATCGCCGATCATGCAGATATTGGCCAACCGCAAAAGGTAGGCGCCTCACTAAACGCGATCCTAAACAATTTGGATTACTCGATCAATGATTCGCTTGGTGATTAAACCCCTCGATTATTGTGTCATTCATAGCCTCGATTCTGAGCTCATTCAAAAAGGCAAAGGTTATTCTGACGTCAGTTTTTTTACGTAAAACTAATTTTGTGAGTGTGTATGTTGAACTTATTTCACACCGTATGCAGACAACCATGCTAAAAATAAATACGTACGTACGTGCGTGTGCACGCAAAATAATTTGCATTCTGATATCTGATTCCCCCCACCGCCACCGGTCCCGTCGCCCCTCTATCGATCATTCATACTCCAGCGGTCCCTCACTGGCAGTAAAATGTCAGCACGTTGGATTGGTTGTCGGGCCCTCACTGGCAGTAGAATGTCAGCACGTTGGATTGGTTGTCGGGCCCTCACTGGCAGTAGAATGTCAACACGTTGGGTTGGTTGTCGGGCCCTCACTGGCAGTAGAATGTCAGCACGTTGGGTTGGTTGTCGGGCCCTCACTGGCAGTAGAATGTCAGCACGTTGGGTTGGTTGTCGGGCCCTCACTGGCAGTAGAATGTCAGCACGTTGGATTGGTTGTCGGGCCCTCACTGGCAGTAGAATGTCAGCACGTTGGATTGGTTGTCGGGCCCTCACTGGCAGTAGAATGTCAGCACGTTGGATTGGTTGTCGGGCCCTCACTGGCAGTAGAATGTCAACACGTTGGGTTGGTTGTCGGGCCCTCACTGGCAGTAGAATGTCAGCACGTTGGGTTGGTTGTCGGGCCCTCACTGGCAGTAGAATGTCAGCACGTTGGGTTGGTTGTCGGGCCCTCACTGGCAGTAGAATGTCAGCACGTTGGATTGGTTGTCGGGCCCTCACTGGCAGTAGAATGTCAGCACGTTGGATTGGTTGTCGGGCCCTCACTGGCAGTAGAATGTCAGCACGTTGGGTTGGTTGTCGGGCCCTCACTGGCAGTAGAATGTCAGCACGTTGGATTGGTTGTCGGGCCCTCACTGGCAGTAGAATGTCAGCACGTTGGATTGGTTGTCGGGCCCTCACTGGCAGTAGAATGTCAGCACGTTGGGTTGGTTGTCGGGCCCTCACTGGCAGTAGAATGTCAGCACGTTGGATTGGTTGTCGGGCCCTCACTGGCAGTAGAATGTCAGCACGTTGGATTGGTTGTCGGGCCCTCACTGGCAGTAGAATGTCAGCACGTTGGGTTGGTTGTCGGGCCCTCACTGGCAGTAGAATGTCAGCACGTTGGGTTGGTTGTCGGGCCCTCACTGGCAGTAGAATGTCAGCACGTTGGGTTGGTTGTCGGGCCCTCACTGGCAGTAGAATGTCAACACGTTTGGTTGGTTGTCGGGCCCTCACTGGCAGTAGAATGTCAGCACGTTGGGTTGGTTGTCGGGCCCTCACTGGCAGTAGAATGTCAGCACGTTGGATTGGTTGTCGGGCCCTCACTGGCAGTAAAATGTCAGCACGTTGGAATGGCTGTCAGTCCCTCTGGTAGTAGAATGTCAACACGTTTGGTTGGTTGTCGGGCCCTCACTGGCAGTAGAATGTCAGCACATTGGGTTGGTTGTCGGGCCCTCACTGGCAGTAAAATGTCAGCACGTTGGGTTGGTTGTCGGGCCCTCACTGGCAGTAGAATGTCAGCACGTTGGGTTGGTTGTCGGGCCCTCACTGGCAGTAGAATGTCAGCACGTTGGGTTGGTTGTCGGGCCCTCACTGGCAGTAGAATGTCAGCACGTTGGGTTGGTTGTCGGGCCCTCACTGGCAGTAGAATGTCAGCACGTTGGATTGGTTGTCGGGACCTAACTGGCAGTAGAATGTCAGCACGTTGGATTGGTTGTCGGGCCCTCACTGGCAGTAGAATGTCAGCATGTTGGGTTGGTTGTCGGGCCCTCACTGGCAGTAAAATGTCAGCATGTTGGGTTGGTTGTCGGGCCCTCACTGGCAGTAGAATGTCAGCACGTTGGATTGGTTGTCGGGCCCTCACTGGCAGTAGAATGTCAGCACGTTGGATTGGTTGTCGGGCCCTCACTGGCAGTAGAATGTCAGCACGTTGGGTTGGTTGTCGGGCCCTCACTGGCAGTAGAATGTCAGCACGTTGGGTTGGTTGTCGGGCCCTCACTGGCAGTAGAATGTCAGCACGTTGGGTTGGTTGTCGGGCCCTCACTGGCAGTAGAATGTCAACACGTTTGGTTGGTTGTCGGGCCCTCACTGGCAGTAGAATGTCAGCACGTTGGGTTGGTTGTCGGGCCCTCACTGGCAGTAGAATGTCAGCACGTTGGATTGGTTGTCGGGCCCTCACTGGCAGTAAAATGTCAGCACGTTGGAATGGCTGTCAGTCCCTCTGGTAGTAGAATGTCAACACGTTTGGTTGGTTGTCGGGCCCTCACTGGCAGTAGAATGTCAGCACGTTGGGTTGGTTGTCGGGCCCTCACTGGCAGTAGAATGTCAGCACGTTGGATTGGTTGTCGGGCCCTCACTGGCAGTAGAATGTCAGCACGTTGGGTTGGTTGTCGGGCCCTCACTGGCAGTAGAATGTCAGCACGTTGGGTTGGTTGTCGGGCCCTCACTGGCAGTAGAATGTCAGCACGTTGGGTTGGTTGTCGGGCCCTCACTGGCAAAAGAATGTCAGCACGTTGGGTTGGTTGTCGGGCCCTCACTGGCAGTAGAATGTCAGCACGTTGGGTTTGTTGTCGGGCCCTCACTGGCAGTAGAATGTCAGCACGTTGGATTGGTTGCCACGCACGAGCAGCACGGGTGCCCGCAGGTCCTGCGAGAGAGCGTCGAGCCACGCCATGTAGAGCGCGCTGGGACACGAATCCTTGCGCCCCACGGGCATGCTGCTGCTCACAGCGCACGAGAGACACAAACGACAAGGAAAAATAAGCCCCCACCCAAGCGTTTTACATGGAGGTGAAGATGCGTGCCCCCCCCCGGCAAAAGACTCGGACGAAACTTTCTCCCCGTTTTACAGAAGGCTTCAAAAACAGGTTGTCCGCGATAAATTTGTTACAGAGTGGTCCAGATGTGGGCCCCAGCAAAAGACACGGACAAAACTCCCCCCCCCCCCCCCGTATATATGAGCCTTGGTAACATTGTTTGCGGCAAGCGTGTTGCAGGATTGTCCAGACGTGAGCCCCCCCAACCCCCCAAAATCAGAATATTTGTACTGGAGGAGAAATTCGATGAGCTATGAAGTTCTTTTTCACAGATATCCAGTAGGGGCGCGGGGTCAGAACGTTAGAACAACAAATAGTACAACAACACGATAGGAGTGCAAAGTATAGGTTAGGTAAGCAAATCGCTGAAAAGTAACATTTTAAAACTAAACTTTTTTTTATCTAACCAGATAAGGCCCACTGAGCTATTAGCTTATTTTTTAGAAGTGACTTTGTCACAAATGATAAGCCCAACGAATTAGCTTAGCACGTGGAAATGTATAGCTGCAAAACAATCTTATCTAAACACATGCATCTATTCATTAATGGATCCCGACCATTTTTGTTCCGTTTGCTTAACTAATTTCTGTTTTCGCACCCAATGTGTGGAATTTGTATTTATTAAATTAACATCTGGACCACCCAGTGGAGTACACACTGCACCAGGTAGTCGTTTCAAGGTCGAGTCTACCTAGGGGAGGGCCCCCAGGACTGGTTGCTATATTCGTCTCGTATTCTTGCTCTGCCGCCTGCCGCTTTCACGGTCGTAATCCGTATTACGTGCGACCAGCGGGCCCTCTCCGCAGGGTGCTTTGTGACACTTCACGTGGCCTCAACGTGCACATAGCCTGGCACAAGCGTCGTGGTGACGTCACCGCCGGTTATTGTTGTTGTTGTTGTGACACGTGCCCGTTCCACCACGCGGCGAGGATGCCCCACAATCGCCTCTCTCGGCGGCGGCAAGAGGCCGCGCGCGTTTCTCCATCCCAAAAACAAAAATGTCCCATGCCACTGGAAGGCGACCTGCCGTGAGTTTATGGTTCCCTACTGAGCGGTCAAGTGGGGTTGAGGTGGGGGGTGCGGAGAGAAAGCGAGAGAGAGAGAGACCCAGGAACAGTGGTGGCCACTCACACAACGACGAGCGCAGAGTCCCGGGAGTAATCCAGCAGAATCTCATTGAGCCGGATCTGGCGAGACGTCTGTCAACAAAACGCACACACGTGCAAAGACAGATCCCCCCCCCCCCCTCCGTATAGCCTGAACAGCCTGTTGGGCAAGTACTGTCACGCGAGCACCTATGAAGGTCCGGCACGGTACACGAGGGGTGGGTGGCCAGCACCACGCCCGACCGCATTTGTCTCCCCTAGTGACGACGTTTACACACCGCACCAGGTACTCATTTGAGGCCGAGTCAACCTAGGTGAGGCCCAGGACCTGTTCAGGTCACTGTCACTGGTGTTGGCCGTGGGCGGGAAACGAACTCGGGTAGCCGGGTTTGTAGCGCAGCGTGCTAACCGCTACACGTGCACACACACACACACACTTGCTTTATGGCCACGCTGGTGATGCCTGGCCCCAGGACTGATTTAAGTTCCACCGTAGAATGCCCTGGATTCTGCTACGACCCCCACACACACACACAAAGAAGTTATTCATAAATCAGTTCACTGATGTGATCACGGAATTTTTGGGGGGGTTTGCTTTGCTTTTTTACTTCTGCTTCTTCCACTCTGAGCTTAATTTCTCAATGAATATTGTTCACTAGCCTCCAGCCCGTCCAAGGACGGGTGAATTGCAGTAAATCTGAAACTTGCAAGCGATAAGCAGACCGCGACGTCATATTCATTGCATCAATTCGTGTGCATTTTGTAAGGCCGCGGTGAGACAGACTTATTTCATTAAATGGTTATAATCCTTTGTTCATCATGACGTCCTTTTTACTTCTGTCTCAATAGCGTTACGGAGATCGCGTGACGTGAGGGTTCTGCCTTTGTAGTGAGGGTTGTAAGTTGACGCTGAGGAGGGGGGAGGAGGCGCCTCGCCCTCCCATGTGGAGTGGCGTCACCCGTACATGATTATTAATGACAGGGGGGGTCCCCACCTGTTCATGATTATTAATGAGAGGGGGCTGGTCGACGTGGAGTGACGTCATGTGCGTTACACACTGAGATTCTTGGGTAAATGTAGTAAATGTTTGCTGGTAGACTGGAGTCGGCACGTGACTAGTAGTAGCAGTCACGGCCGTAGCGAGGGATATACTGGATGCGGTGTGCTGGGTGCAGACATATTTTGTTGGGTTGCTGAGCCAGAGAGACCCAGCCTAAGCGAAGCCCTCCTCCGTCCAGCTCGTTCTCAGGGGTTCATGGCAGATCAGAGCCGTAAGCGTTCAACCTTAATGAAAAGTGATTGGTGGATGAGTTCTAGCTCGAGCTGACTTTTTGCAAAGTAATATTTTATTGATCACGGAGAGATGATAGGATGATAGGCCGAGTTGACCCTCAGCCAGGATTTGACCTCTTAACCTTCCGATTGGGAGTCAAGTTCCCAACCAACATTGCCACCTTGCTGGAGATGAGGCATTAGGGATTTGGGATTTCCTCTCGGGGTCAGAGGTCATTGATGGAGGATGCTGAGCGGACCTTGGTGCGGTGACGCTGGATCTCCTCATCGGAAATCTTCCAGGGGCAGTTCTTCCTCATTTCCTCCAAGGCCAGCTCATCCAGGAAGCCGTCGTTGAGCCGATACGGGGCTATGGTGTCCTCGAAGCGTTTCTGGCTGTGCGGCACGAGTGTCATCGTCGTCATCCATCCATTCATCGTCATCAGTCATCATGAATAAGTCCTTATCGTCAGTTGTCATTAGTAGTCATTCATCATGATCGTCATTTATCACCATCATCAATCAACCACCACCATCATCATCATACAAATACCGAAGTTAAATTAATGGAAAGAAAACGTAACGGTAAACTTAAAAAAAACAGTGAGGGTGTACGGTTAGAACGACCTTCATAGTTTTTTCTACCCATCTGGACAATTCCAACATTTTTTGGGTGACCGATTGCCTCGGTGGCATAGCTATCGAGTGTGCAGGCAGCGCAACTGCACCTGGGCCCATGGGCCGGAGGGGCCCAGGTGATGCGCTATGAAGAGGTGGGGGGATGGAAATTGGACAGGAGGCCCCCTTTGCGACATCACTGGATTGGCCAAGTAATTATAATTATTTGATATAGATATCCCCAGTCTGTCAATGTAGATTTTGAACAATATACCTGCCGATGTTGTCAATATCTCTAGAGTTTTGCTCATTGGAGGTCTCGCAGTTTTTCCCGTTGTGTGATTTGGCAACATGGTTGTTTGCGTGTATGTATGTTGAACTTCTTTCGTATCGTACATAGCCAACCGTGCTCAATCGGAGGTGTGTGTGGGGAGCGGTAGTGTCGTGGTTAGTGTACTTCGCAACGAACACAGCGACTCGTGTTTGATTCCCGCTCACGGCCACCAACACCAGCAACGATTATCTGAACCGGTCCTGGGCCTCCCCTAGGTCGACTCAGTCTCACAAATGAGTACCTGGTGCGGTGTGTAAACATCGCCACTGGGGAGACAAAAGCGGCCGGGCGTGGTGCTGATCACCCACCCCCTCGTATGTCATGCCGGCCTTCATAGGTGCTCGCTAACAGTCTGTAAAGGCTACATAGGGGGATCTTTCCCTTTGTAGTGAATGCATCTGCGATCGCTGGGCACTGCTCACTGTTCTGGCCGGGGTCGCTGGTTGATGTCCAGAAGGACGTGCACCTCGTGGAAGTTGAGCCGGAACTGGTTCAGCAGTTGGACCATGCTACAACAGGGACACGTGGGCACAGAGAGAGACATGGGGAGAGACGCACCAACACAGATAAAATGAGCATCACTAGCTCAAAATATAATAATGGTTTAGAAAAATTGCCCACTTTTTATCCACTATTGTAGTACTTTGAACTTGTTTTGTACCGTAAATAACCACCAGTGCTAATCAGAAGTGTGGGACTAAACACAAAAAACTAAACTATTGGATAAAAGGCCTTTGCATACTGTAACGTCATGGGGGGGGGGGGGCGGTGGTTGTTTGACCATACTTCACCACACTGGTCAGTGCGGTTGGCCAAGGCGGGAAGCACATGTCAGAGCATCGAAAGTCAGCGCAGCAAATTGGGATTTTTTTCCGCGCTCCAAATCTGCCGACACCACCCCCGCAGCCTCCCGGCGGCCCACACCGCCTCTGCCGCATGCACCGTGACCCGACCACGGCAGCATTCGCCTCCCGCCGTGCTTGGCATGCGAGTCTTGGCGAGGTTCGGTGAATTCCGGTGGATTTGGTCCTCGTCTCCACATCGCCCAGCGAAGGAGCAGGTGGCTACTTGCTGGGATTTATAGCAGCCGGATAAGGAGCGGGTGCTCGAGCTTGTGCGACGTAAGAGACTCTTGCTCGAGTTCAAAGAAAGCGAAGGAAATTGAGGGTCCGGTCATGGTGCGGCCGCCGGGAACCCACACGCGGCGCTCCTCCTCCACGCGGTTGAGCTGGCCTCCAATGAAGACCCGCAGCTTGCAGTTCCGCCACCTCTTCTTCCTCGTCAGCAGATACGGGATGAGGAGGGACAGCCCTGCAGCCCGTCAGAGCAGAGCGCACGGTCAAACTCTCCTGCGTCACCTATGCATTGGTGCAGGGTGATCCACCACGGATCAGTTCACCGACTTTATTGGGTTAAGGCGCAGCCCTTGCAACTGCTGGCAGAAGGACCTCCCGCTAAACACAGCTCTATAGATCCATAATACAGGGGTTTTTTTGGGGTTAGATCAGGTAAATATATAAATGTGTCATTAAACCCGCCACCACCCGACAGCCAATTAGTAAGGCTTGTCACGTCAACAGAACGTGCCAATTCGTTACTAGTACAGCACACCGGTGTGTGGGAGAGCAAAGCCACAACATTTACAATCTGAGTACGACGTTTCGTATTGGTGGAACTAGCTGGATGAATAATAATTGTTTTTTTTTCCCTTTTATCTGGCAACAAACTGACACCTTTTTTACAAGGAGTCATGTTTGCATTGACCACAGTACCTGCGGTCGGAATGCAAACAAAAAACATAATTCTGATAATGTACGCACTGTTCTTGAAATTGATTGGTCCACACCCGAGAAAGCTTTCCTTAGAACCTCGTCTCACATGGTGTTGGACCAGATGACTAAAAGGCGTCATTGGTCCAACACCATGTGAGACTAGGCTCTAAGGAAAGCTGTCTTGGATGTGGACCAATCAATTTCAAGGACAGTGCCAATACATTATCAGAGTTATGTTTTTTTGTTTGCATTCCGACCGCAGGTATTGTGGTCAATGCAAACATGACTCCTTGTAAAAAAGGTGTCAGTTTGTTGCCAGATAAAAGGGTCAAAAAACAATTGTCATATTTTGCTACTGGCAAAGGAGGTTCCAATGGTAGCTTGATGAAGTTATCTCGGTGAAACATCCTTTGTGTCGCCGCGTCTCTATCGCGGGGATGCTGCGGATCGCCCTGCGCCGGTACCTCCGTCGTCGAAGAGCCAGTAGATGTCCACGTACTTCTTCCCCTGGGAGCCCTGGAAGCTGCTGGGCGTTTGGACGTCTGTGATTGCGGCCTCTGGATCGGCTGTTCCCATGGACAGAGCGACGGGGGGCGTTAATGGGGTGCGGCAGGCAGACTGCACAGAGGGTTCACTTTTCTCAGTTGAAATTCTTTTTTTATGTCACCAGGTAATGCCCACTGAGCTATGAAGCTCTATTCATCAGAAGCGACCTGGCCACAAATGATAGCTCGCCGAAGTGGCTTATCGCGTGGAAATTTATAGCAACCAGATACTCTCAAACGCCTGTTTCTACATGTGGAGAAAAAAGAAACCAGCGGAGATAGACACGCAAACTCCAAATATACAACAGGCTTCAGGGTCAGAATCGAACCCACGATATCCTGTACACCTGGCGAGGCAGTTAACATCTCCTAGCCACCGTGGCACCCCATCATCTCGCTCACGTTTGATGGTGGCTCACCCGGCTGCTCCGATTTGGTGGCGAGATCTCAGTGCCTTGCTGTTCATCATTCTGATTGTGATCAGTCATGATCAATTCACTGCTGAGAGACGATAAGGTGTCATTTGTGGAAAGAGATCGAAAGTTGATTGGAACTGGGGACGCCATCTTTGTCAGCTGAGCCTCACTCGCCGTGCATTAATTGCAATGTGAATTCCTACGATATCCAAACATCGTCATGATCATCATCGTTACGTTTTTCGTAAAATGATGCATTGATTCACTAACATCGATTCTGAAGCTCATGAAACATGGTTATAATTGCATGTGTTTTTAGAGATGTGTGTCTATGCTGTATCCAATGGGGCCCATGTCACCCCTCGAGAGGCACTAACATTCACTGCGATGCGAAATAATAAATAACATCGAATCAATCTTGACCGTGAATTTCGACAATTTCATTGCCTCTTCCTGGAGGTTGTATAAATCCACCCCTAAGCATCGTCATCATAATCGGCAACACTCACGATGATAGTTATTGCCGAATTATTATTGTTGAACAAATACGCCTGCTTGATACTCTTTGTTTTTTTTTGGGTAAAGTCATGTAGGTAAAATAAAAATAAAAGAAAACAATTAAATCACGACGTTTCGGAGGCAACACAAGCTTCCGTCTTCAGGTGGAACAGTCACAGCAAAATCGCTGCATCAAGTGGGGAGGCTCTGAGAGCCTCGAGCTTAAATACAGGTTAAGGGGGGGGGGGAGGAGCCAAGTAGAGGACATTTATGGGGTGCGGGGCTAAATTAATCCGTCTTGTGTTTTTGTTTCTTTTCGGCCACATGAGTGTCGAGCGACATCTCCAGCGGTTCCGGGGCGCCCTCTTCCCCGAGCCGCGCACTGCCCGGCGAAGCGCGGCTGAAGGGCCGAGCGCAGCGCGTGCATTGACTGAAGAGCGTGGCCACAACGGTGCCTTCTGGGTGGCCGTGAGTCTCGAGAGTGCGAGCCAAGCCACCTGCGCCGCTGCCGTCCCCGTTGGTATGCGAGTGTCCGTTTTCCGTCCCGTTAAACGCCGGGTTGACTGCACGCATGCACGCACAAAGGACAAAGGGACAAAGAATCCCTCCGCATGGCTTCTGCAGAAGAGTCCCGGCGGCCCGGTTCACCAGGGTGGGGGGGGGGGGGGGGGGGGGGTGGAACCGAAGGTGTTATGATATCTCTAACGCTGCCCTTAAATGTCAACGGACAAGCCTAGAGCCACAGCCTTACGCTGTGGCTCTAACTGTGATAAATGAGTCGGCGAGCACAAACACGGGCTTGGCAAGAGCCGCAGAGGTTCTCCCCGCCAAAACAGGCCGAAAGGTGCTGGGGGCGTCAATTTTACGCCGGCCCTCGATGCCGGCCGGACACGCGCGCGGTGGGGGGGGTGGGGGGGGTGGGGGGGGGTGGGGGGGGGTGGGGGGGGGGTCAGCGATGAGTGGCCGAGTTGCACCGTCGCAGGGGGGCAGACCGCTGGGGTGCGTCGCGAAGGAGAGGTAGGAAGGGAGAACGCGGAGCCATCGACAAGAGGCTTTAGTGGGTCTCACCTCGCGCCTGCGCGGATTGGGACACGTCCAGTCCCTCCTTCACCCTCAGGATGCAAACCCCGAAGTTTAAGTCGAAGGCGTCACTGAGGAACACAGGGAGAGGGGATGGGCAGGGGGTGGGGGGGGGGGGGGGAGAGCCGCTGCGGGTGGTGGGGATCGCGTTGACGCGACGGGAAAGCGTGGACCCGATCCCCTTTCTCCGAGCGGTGACAAGTGCACAGGGGGCGTAGCGTGGCCGCGGCACCTACTGGACTATGTTGATGTAATCCTCCATCTGCTGAGGATGCTTGGAGCGCCAGTTCTTCTTGAAGCCCATCACCAGGACGTCCGGCTTGAACTTGCCAAGTCCGGCAGCCTGCCGCGCCAGCCACGAGGATATTTCACTCATGGCGCGGAGTTTGTGGGGGGGGGGGGGGGGCACAGGGGAGGGGGCAATAGCCCACCCAAACTGGACACCTTTATTTATTTTCAGTAGTTTACAAGTAAGATTAGATATACATTTCCTTGTTGCACCTGCTCGAATTCCGCCGACGATTTCACAGCCGCACCTTTGGCTTGGTCTCAAATTGAGCGAGATTCCGTCACAATCGCCAACATTTTGACGTCTACGAAATCCGTGACTTTGTATGACATCATCATCATAATCATCGCCACTCTTGCACCGCACTCCTCCCATCTTGGTATCATAGCCACGAGAAGTGAGAACGAACACATTACATGAGGTCGCACTCGTCACGCACAAAGTGCTCACCACAAATGAACCACAACACCTTGCTGATTTCATCAAGGAGCATAAATCATCACCCAAACTCCGGACATCCTCGCAGCAGCCATTGGCTAGCCATCGAACAAAGACGGCCACTGCATGGCGTGCTTCTGCAGCCGTCTGGAACGCTCTTCCTTTCGATATTAGGAAACCACCTGGCGCTATGCACTTTTAAATCATCTATATTGTCCTTCCCCCGCACCTCCGATGAGCATGGTTGGCTACGTACCGTGCGAAAGAAGCTGAACATACATATACAGGATCCTTTAAAAAAATGTTAACACTTCTATGGGACTATCGTTTATAATGGAAAAATAACGGATTATACACTGTAACAAATGTAATGTTAATAGCTTAAAAAAATCAAGAGTCTCCACTTGCTCGCCATCGTTGTCAACACGTGGCCCGGAATCTTCTCCAGGTGGTCTCCGGAGCCCGGAGGTACATTTCTTGTGGTATTGTTGCAAATTCTCAGAAGTGTTAAAAACAATTTAAGCACCCTGTATATACAACATACATAACATAAACTTTGCAATGGGAAAAAGTGATGGAATCCTCGAGGGGGTGGCGCAAGCGGCCAACCAAACCCCAGCCCGACCGCTGACCCGAACAGCTCCACCTTTGGTTTACTCTTGGAACAGATTCGGATATTCGCGAAACAACCATTTATCGGCACATCTCCTACAAAAAAGTGGCAAAATCGTTGACAAGCGTTAACACGCGCGTTGAGGCCAACGAGGGGACGTGCCCCAGGCTACGCATCGTATGTGTCTGTCTGTCAAGGGACATAAGTGGCCTTGCGGCTTGCACAGCATGCGTCACCACAAAGGATGGTGGGGCCCGTGGTCAAGACTCATAATGGGAGTGGCAGCCAAAGGAGGGAGCGTGCCCAAGTGTTTGTATGTTTAACTTCTTTCGCACCATACGTAGCCAACCGTGCTAAGTTTTCAATCTAGATGATAATTTAAAAGTAAATAGCTCCCAGTGGCTTCCTAATATCGGAAGGAAGAGCGTTCCAGACGGCCGCAGAAGCGCATCTGAGAGCGCAGCACGACGCGGTACGTAGGGAGATCGCCAAAATCGGCTCGTGCGCAGGAAACTCGATGGACCGTTGCGTCGCGCCACCGTGGGAGACATCGACGAGGGGGGGGGGGACGCCTTCTTCCGGCAGTGGACAGATCACAGACAACGTTGAAGTGAGCCCTCGGGGTTTACAGTGCCCGCCCGGTGGGGTGCAGTCGCTCGTACCTGCAGCATCATCTGGGTGCCGGTGCGCAGGTCACTGGTGGCCACGGTGTGGTAGAAGGCGTGCATTTTGCGCTTGGCCATCCACCGCACCTGGCCCTCCAAGCTCGCCTCCTTCTGCTTAAGGCCGCCGGGGCCCTGTGGGGGTCAGCGGTAGAGCAGCGGTTACGTACGTGTGTGTGTCGAGCTTCTCTTCGCACCGTACGCAAGCCGATCGTGCCGATCAGAGGCGCGGTTAGCAGGCGCTGCGCTATGAACCGGGCCGACCCCCGAGTTTGATTACCGCTCGCGGCCACCAACACCGGTGACAATTATCTGAACCGGTCCTGGGTCTCGCCTCAAATGATAAACCTGGTGCGGTGTGTAAAACGTCGCCACTGGGGAGACAAAGGCGGGCAGGGCATGTTGCTGGCCACCCCCCTCGTGTGTCACGCCGGCCTTGATAGTTGCTCGCTAACATAATTTGCCCCAACAGTTTGTTCAGGCTACACGGGGGATCTTTGTCTTTGTAGCGGAGCCTCGATGCATGTAGAGTGTGGGGACGCGGATCCGGGCCGTGCTACTGATCTGCTCGCTCTCCCGCTGCCGAGCCACCTCGGGAGCTGTACGTGTGCGCCCTTTTTGTCACTCCACTGCTGGATGAAGGCCTCCCCCACACCATCGGGGGGTCATGGGGTTTTATTTTACCGTGCTTCACCGCGCTGGTCGGTGCAGCTTCGCGAAGGCGGGGAGAATATATGACAATTTTTTCTATTCTTATTTTACCAGGTAAGGCCCACCGAGCTATGTAGCTCTATATCAGACGCGACCTGGCCACAAATGACAGCTCAACGAAGTCGCTTACCACGTGGACATTTATAGCAGCCAAATACTATGAACGTGTGATGTTGATTCTAAATGCGGAGGGAAAAACTGGAGGACCCGGATAAAAATCCACGCGACCACCGGGAGAGAGAGAGACACGCAAACTCCAAATATACAACAGGTGTCAGGGTCGGGATGGAACCCACGACCTCCTGTATATCAGGCGAGGTGGTGAACATCTCGCCACCGTGGCGCCTTACATAGCACTGCTGCACTCCATAACGCGGCGTTCTTCACTCATTTTCAGACGGTCACTTTCGCCGATCAAACATCCTCAGTGTGCGAGGGCCGCCACGCCATTTGAAACCATTGGGGGTTTGACAGCAGCAGCACGATGATGACGGGGTGGCTGTTTGCACCATTTGTGCATTGTCAGGGGGCCTTGCAATGAAGAACGCCGCTCTATAGCGATTTATTTCGCTGTGACTGCCCTCGGCTGGCCGCCACGGTAGCCCTGCAAAGCAGCCTATAACGCCTGCTTTTGTCTGCGCAGTTGCTCGATTGATGATTTAAAAGCTCGCACGGCTGACGGCCCCGCACGTGCTCACCGACACCACGTTCCCGCACAGCATGAGGCTGTGCTTCTTCGTGAAGGTCCCGACGAAGTCCACGAGGGCCGGCCGCAAGTTGGGGGGCCCGGTCAGCACCAGACACTGCGGCCTGCGGCAAGGGCAGAAAATCGTGCGTCAGCCAGTCTCTATCTGCTGCTGCTGCTGCTGGACAGGCGTAGAGGCCCAGTGGCGTGCTGTGGCTTTAGGCCTGGTAGACGGCGACACGCACGTGGCGTCAAGGGTTGCCCCTTCGCAATGCAAGGGGGTTGCGGGGGATGATTCCACTGCACTTCACCACGTTGAAATTATTTCCCAAGCAGCATTATTTGTTGTTGTTGTTGTCTTGAGACAAAAGGCAGACGTTGTGCAGTTCGCGAAAGACCACGAGATGAGGAGAGGGTCGATTGCCAAAGTAATTGATGGCTCCACCACGACCCCCATGGTTAAGGGACTGATGATGAGGATGATGATGGCTCTAGTAGAATCTATAGACGATAAGAGAAGCTAAGACGATGGTGATTTGGATGCTCAGTATTTTCCCACCACGGTTGTTCTAACCCAACCCCAGCACGAACACCCCCCGAACGGCATACCGGTAGTTCTTGATGTGTTCCTCCACCTGGTTGAGACCCACGGTGTAAGACAGCGCCATGTTATAGGATCCGGCCTGGACTGACGAGCCCCAGTTCACGGCTGCCGAGAGGAGACAGCGGTGGAAACTGCACATCAGCTAACCCCGATGGAAACATACCGCTTATAACACAAGTCAAGTGCATCACAACAGCACCTATTACATCAAAAAGGAGTGATATTTGAATCATCTTCCTTCGTTCGTTTAAATTCCTCCTTCATACAGTGAGTTTTCTCATTTTTAACTCGGCAAATATTTAGTTTGGGGATGTTTCGATGATTCTGTTTTGGTCTATAGACCCACAGGCTGGGGAATGAAAACAGAACTCAGAGTATTTGAGAGGTGGCTGGGTTGGGGTTCAGAGGTCAGAGCAATGAGCCGACGCTGCTGAGATTCTGGGTACGCAAATCAGGCAGGCACCTCTGAATAAACAAGCGGCTGTGACCAATGACTGCACAAGGAAAATATTACGTAAAATTTTCTTCTGCGCCTTAGCTAAATTCCAGCTTTGAGAATGAGAAATATCAGTCGGGCGAACATTACTCTCAATATCAAAATGCTGTCCTTGACTGTTAAGGAACAGTGGTCAACAGAAGGCATCTCAGACGTAGTTCTGTTTCATCTGCTTCCGTGGGCCGTTCTCTAACACGACGGCTCGCACTGCTCTGCGAGAGTTCCAAACCGATTCTTCATCTCGTCACGTGACACCGATGGCGCACTCGCGATAAAATGTGGCAAAGAAATATTTTATTTGTATGTAGAGAAACTGCCTCCATATGTATTATTTGTATTTTCATAGAGTTTTGGTTGCATTCTGGAAAAAAATATCTGGCCGAAGGATGACACTCGTGCTATGTTTGCAGGGCTCACTGCCTGCCAGGCAGAGTGGCCTAGGAATAGCCCGGCCGCATGCCAGTAGCACGGCCCGGATCCACGTCCCCGCACTCTACGCGCATCAAGGCTCCATGGACGCGGCCTCGCTACAAAGACTAAGATCCCCCCGTGTAGCTTTAACAGACTTTTGGGGCAAGTGCTGTTAGCGAGCACCTATAAAGGCCGGCACGGCACACGAGGGGGTGGGTGGCCAGAACCACGCCCGGCCGCATTTGTCTCCTCAGTGGCGTTGTTTACTACACACCGAACCAGGCACTTATTTGAGGCTGAGTCGTCATAGGGGAGGCGCAGGACCGGTTCAGATAATCGCCACCGGTGTTGGCCACGAGTGGGAATCGAACTCGGGGTCCCCGGGGTTCGTAGCGCAGCGTGCTAACCGCTACACTACCGTGGACGCGGCCCCGCTACAACAACAACAACCGCCATTCGCCACTAAGTGGCGGTGACATTACCGCCACTTAGTGGCTTGTGCCAGGCTATGTGCACGTTGAGGCCACGTGAAGTGCCGAACGCCCCCGCCGGCAGGAGGTCACGGGGCAGACCCAGGTGCCACGGGTCAACCGACTGAGATGACTACTGGCCAATGCACCACCTGTGCCTCCCACAGTTGGCCCCGCTACACAACAACCGCCATTCGCCGCTGAGTGGCGGTGACGTCACCACGACGCTTGTGCCAGGCCATGTGCACCTTGAGGCCACGTGAAGTGTCAACAAGCGCTCGTCGCTACGCACGCACACGCAAGCACGCGCAGATTGCCCGCGCCGCCACGGTCCCGCTCACCTGGCTTCTTGTAGATGACGTAGGCCAGGAGGAAGACGACAATCCCCACGACGATGAGCGCAGCCCACCAGGTGAGCAGGAACATGATGACGATGGAGATGATGGCGCCGAACAGGGACGCCCACTTGCTGTAGTAGCGGAACGACGGGCGCCAGCCTGACAACAGAAACCACTCGCGCTCGCGACACGCAGCAAGCGCTCGTCGCCAGCGAACCCGCGGTACCTTTGTGTTGCGTTGCACATCTCACCGGGAGAGTTGGTGATGGAGGCGTGGAAGCAGGAGAAGTTGATGAGTGCGTATGAGGCCAGGAAGAAGTTGGAGATGATGGGGGCGATCGTGTTTAGCTCGGCTGTATGAGACACATCCCCCCCCCCACCCGGCGGGCAGCGATCAGGGTTAGGCGGGACACAACGTCACGCGAGCTTCGACCATCCTCGCCGCGTCGCGCGCTTTCAAATGCCCTTCTGCGGCCGTCTGGAACGCTCTACCAGTAGTAGGAAGCACTTTTAAATCTCGATTGAAAACTAATTTCTTTAGAACTGCCGTTTGTGTTTAGTTTGCTGTCCTTCCTCCGACACCTCCGATTTGCACTGTTGGCTACGTACGGCGCGAAAGAAGTTCAACATACATGCATACATCAACAGTCCTGATAACCTCATGAAATACGGGTTTTCATTGCAGTATGCGGTAGCAGATGCGTTCCAAGAAAAGGGTGCACAAAGCGGAACTGCGCGAGGCAGCTGCCTGCCAAATAGCGCACACAGCACGCACACAATGTTCTCCCACGTCTGACCGCATCGCCGCATGTAGAGTGAATGCAAACCGCATAGAGCAACATTCGGGTAAAAAATATGTTAGCCGAATAGAGTAAGCGTCATCGCACAAACCGAACGAACCCGCGTAGAGCGAGGGAAACCTGTGCCCTGCACCCGGGGTATTGCCACCATGACTCGACTATCAACATTTTTAATTGCACACTGGAGGTGGGACTGTTCAGGGCTCCGATACAGTTGGTGACGTGACACAAACCTAATCTCATTGCCCGCGACCATTTGCACATTTGCAAATATTCCTCTCGGCGCTCGTTTGTGTCCGCAGGTTTTTTCGGCCAACGCTTTCATCTGTTTGACCAGTTTTCTGTAAGGTGAGTCCCTATTACGAACAGAGCATCATGGTAAAATGAATTTGTATTGGATCATCTTTACCAGAGTTCTCATGACCCCCATGTTACCCACCAGACATTGCCGGCTTATCCTAGTAGCTAAAGTATCTACACATGCTACGGACCCCACACTTCAAAGGGCCCCGTGCTAAATGCTTTCAAGCTATAAATTCCGATTCAGTGATTCTGCACTTGCTCTATTACTATAGTACTATACCGCCTTCAACTTATCTGGCTGAAAAGAAAATGAAAAAATACAATTACTTTACTATGCAAGTAAAAAATGTACGTGTTTTAATATTTCAGAGTTTTTATTTATTTATTTAGGGCCCCTTTATAACATATGCTACAGGCCCCGCACTAGCTTAATCCGGCACTGCCACCAGACAGACGGACAGTGCTAATGCGTGAACCCTTTCAAAGCCAGTTGACGAGCCTTCGAAATAAACGCGAGCGGTGTCTGCGGAGAGGAGGATTCACCGATGAGGATGAAGCCGACGGCGATGATGAAGGTGAGGATGTAGCCTGGGATGGGCTCGTTGTTCTTGCCGTAGCCACGGCCAAACATCCCAATGCCCGGGTAGAGTTGATCCTTGCACAGGCACTGTAAGTGAGGGGAGGATGGGGGGTGACATTGCCAACCCTGAACCAACGGCACGGGCTCAGCTTCTGCAGCAGGGAAAAAAAACCCGACCCGCGCCTCCAGACCCGCGCGTTGGCTTGGCCTCGGGGGCGTGGCCCTGGCTCGGCTCGCATGCGCCGATGGAACACGGGGGCATCAAAGGGTGCGCGTTTTGCTGCCGACCGCCCATTTCCCGTTGCTCTTGCCTGGAACACTTTGGGAGCGCTGACGAGGCAGGCGAGCGCCGACGACAGCGTCGCCCCGAATATCCCGGCTGTGATGAGCGGCGCGATCCCCGACACCAGGCTCATGGTCTGTGGGGCGCGCACGGGGTCCACACGCACGTGCAGAAACAAAGATCCCTGTAACAGACTGTTGGGGCAGGTGCTGTTAGCGAGCAGCACCTATGAAGGCCGGCACGGCACACGAAGGGGCTGCGTGGCCAGAACTTCGCCCGGCCGCCTTTCTCTCTACCCTAGTAGTGATGTTGCTTGACGCATCGCACCAGGTACTCATTTGAGGATGAGTCGACCTAGGGGAGGCCCGGGTCTGATTCACATAAGGGTCACCGTTGTTGGGCGTGAGCGGGGAATTGAACTCGGGGTAGCCGGGTTCGTTATGCAGCGCACTAACCCGCTACTTCTACTGCTCCCGACGAGCACACATACACACGCATGCGTGCAGGGAACTGCAGGGATGCACCTTTTACCTTTAATTTTTTTTTTACTCCAAATCAATCAAGGCCAACGGGATGGGATTCAAATAGCGACGTCTCAGGTGGGAGAGGGAGTGTGCCCCAGGCTGCACCTGGCCGCTGGCCAGGGGTCCCCCCCCCCCTCCCCGCACCTGGTAGTTGTTGCTGAGTCCGTAGAGACAGCTCTGCGCGAGGGTGCACTCCGAGAAGTTCCAGCCGTGGCCGCAGCCGAGTCCCACGCAGGGCACCGGGGGCACGCCCTCCGGCAGGGTGTCGTTCAGACTGCCCGACGCGTCGCGGATCACGCACGACGCTGCGCGAGGGGCAAAGAATAAAAGACCACAGAAAGTGACGCTTGTTTCCTCTGTGCGTTGGCGCGTTTCTCACCATCTCTCTCCCTCTCTGTGTGCCCGCGTGTCCCTGTTGTTGCATGGTCACATTGCTGAGCCAGTTGTGGCTCAACTTCCACGAGGTCAAGCGTCCTTCTGGATATCAACCAGCGCACCCCTCCCCCCCCCCCCCGGCCAGAACAGTGAGAAGTGCCCAGCGATCGCAGATGCATTCACTACAAAGAGAAAGATCCTCCACGTAGCCTTTACAGGCTGTTAGCGAGTAGCACCTATGAAGGCCAGCAGGGTGCACGAGACGGCACCACGTCCACCCGGCCGCCTTTGTCTCCCCAGTGGGCGATGTTTACGCACCGCACACGGTAGTGTGTTTTGGCTCAGTCCACCTAGGTGTTTATGGCTCAACGGGACGTAGATCTATCTGCGTTCATTTGTTTTCCTTGCGCCTTTACACAAAAAGAAAGCCTCGGAACGCTTTACACAACAATAAAAAAATTATACATTTAAAGAATAAGAGATTATAAATAGGTACATCAGAAGAAAAAAAAACACCAATAATTTTGAGAGCGATGTGATAAGCGGAAAATGCATTGGAAATGAAAAATACGAGCAAGCAGTATGGCCTACTGAGCTGTATGGCTCTTTTTCAGAAACGATCTGGCTACCACAAATGAAAGCTCAACGAAGTGGCTTATCAGGTGGAAACATATAGCAGCCAAATCCTCAAAACGCACGTTGATTCTAAATGTGGAGGTAAACCCCGGAGAAAAATCCACGCAACCACGGAGAGAGACACGCAAACTCCAAATATACAGAAGCAGGCGATAAGGTCGGGATCAAACCCACGACCTCCTGCATACCAGGCGAGGTAGTTAACATCTCGCTACCACGGCGACCCTGCATGTACGTGTCTTGAACTTCTTTCGCACCGTACGTAGCCACCCGTGCTAATCGGAGGTGCGGGGGAAGGACAACAAACTAGACACAACCAACTAAACACAAACACAAACAATTAGTGCCACGTTGTGGGGAAGCCAATGGTGCCAAAACGACGCCGCTCGGCCCCATTCACCGATCGCCAAGTGACTCGGATTTGCAGTTTATGAGAGTTGACGTGGCGGTCAACAGATTGTGGGGAAGAAAGTGAAGTGAACGAGATGCGACACCTGGAGACAAGGGGGTGCGCGCATTAATGGTCACGTGTACAGATGCCCCCCGTGACGTCCTAACATAAGAAGTCATGTGCATGCCAGCACATTACATTTTTTTAAACACTAACCTTGCTGTGGAAAAATGACACCGGTGTACACGTGTGTGTGTGTGTGCGCTACACGTGTGTGTGTGTGTGTGCGCTACACGTGTGTGTGTGTGTGCGCTACACGTGTGTGTGGGCTACGTGTGTGTGTGTGTGTGCGCTACACGTGTGTGTGTGCGCTACACGTGTGTGTGTGCGCTACACGTGTGTGTGTGCGCTACACGTGTGTGTGTGTGTGCGCATCTCACCGATGGTTGCAGATATGACCAGGTAGGAGACGGTCGTCCAGAAGATCGACAGCATGGTACCCTTGGGGATGGCGATGTTGGGCTCCTTAAATAGTCACAAACGGGGTTCATTGTAACTTGCTTGTCAACGCCGATGACCCCACCCCCCACTTCTGTAGCCATACAGATTGTTAGGGTAAAGTGCGGTTAGCGGTCACACACCTGTAAAACCCTGATCAGTGCCCTACCTTAATGCGGACAAATTCAGATTTTATTGGTCACCCCGTGCTATTTTTCGCCCGTATTGAAACTGCAGTAGGCCGTATGGACCTAAAAACTAAATTTCCCTATGCAAGAATACGGGTAAACCGTGTGGGTTGACAAGAATGGAGTAACACAGAGTAACACCACAGTAACACAGAGTAACACAGAGTAACACCACAGTAACACAGAGTAACACAGAGTAACACCACAGCAACACAGAGTAACACCAGAGAAACACAGAGTAACACCACAGTAACACAGAGTAACACCAGAGAAACACAGAGTAACACCACATTAACACCACAGTAACACAGAGTAACACCACAGTAACACAGAGTAACACAGAGTAACACAACAGTAACACAGAGTAACACAGAGTAACACAACAGTAACACAGAGTAACACAGAGTAACACCATAGTAACACCACAGTAACACAGAGTAACACCAGAGTAACACAACAGTAACACAGAGTAACACAGAGTAACACCACAGTAACACAGAGTAACACCACAGTAACACAGAGTAACACAGAGTAACACAGAATAACACGACAGTAACACAGAGTAACACCACAGTAACACCACAGTAACACAGAGTAACACCACAGTAACACAGAGTAACACAGAGTAACACGACAGTAACACAGAGTAACACCACATTAACACCACAGTAACACAGAGTAACACCACAGTAACACAGAGTAACACAGAGTAACACAACAGTAACACAGAGTAACACCATAGTAACACCACAGTAACACAGAGTAACACCAGAGTAACACAACAGTAACACAGAGTAACACAGAGTAACACGACAGTAACACAGAGTAACACCACAGTAACACCACAGTAACACAGAGTAACACCACAGTAACACAGAGTAACACAGAGTAACACCATAGTAACACCACTGTAACACAGAGTAACACCAGAGTAACACAACAGTAACACAGAGTAACACAGAGTAACACCACAGTAACACAGAGTAACACCACAGGAACACCAGAGTTACACCACAGTAACACAGAGTAACACAGAGTCACACAGAGTAACACAGAGTAACACCACAGTAACACCAGAGTAACACAGAGTAACACAGAGTAACACCACAGTAACACCAGAGTAACACACAGTAACACAGAGTAACACCACAGTAACACAGAGTAACACAGAGTAACACCACAGTAACACCACAGTCACACAGAGTAACACCACAGTAACACCACAGTAACACACAGTAACACACAGTAACACCAGTCACACAGAGTAACACCACAGTCACACAGAGTAACACAGAGTAACACCACAGTAACACACAGTAACACAGAGTAACACCAGAGTAACACCACAGTCACACAGAGTAACACCAGAGTAACACCACAGTAACACCACAGTCACACAGAGTAACACCACAGTAACACCACAGTAACACAGAGTAACACCACAGTAACACCAGAGTAACACAGAGTAACACAGAGTAACGCCAGAGTAACACAGAGTAACAGAGTAACGCCAGAGTAACACAGAGTAACACAAGTTGCCAATTACAACCACGGCCACAACTTCACTACAGAACAGTCTACATTCTAATTCAAAGGCGAATGTGTAGTAATAATTAAAAACATTTTTTTATTTCAGTCGGAGACTTAGTCGAGTCATCGCCAATCCGGGACTGTCCTCGGGTCTTAGTCTGTAAATTTAATTGAGTTACTAAGCTAAACAATTTTACTAACCAGGTAAAGCCCACTATGAGCTCTTTTTCAGAGGTGACCTTTGCCACACGTGATGATATGCTCATGGAAGTGGCTGCTATCATCATCAACATCACCACCACACGTAGATAATTTATATTAAATCAAACACAACTTTCGGCAGTTGCAGAACATGCTTGCCAACAAGGACACTCAATTGGATTTTGATAACTTTGAAGTGTTGTGTGAAACGAATTATTACTGGCCAAGACTAATTCGAGAATTCATTGAAACTGAGAGAAATATAAATTATTTTAACTGCTCTGACAGCTATAGGCTTAGTGCGGCCTGGAAGCGTATTACGAAGTAATACACATTACAATTACAATTCCTTATAGAGGAAACACATACTAATTAACCGATTGATAATCTATTATATAATTACAATACCCCCCTGCTCCTCCGCCTCTGATATCTGCACCTGATGGGTTCAGGTGATGACGTCACCCTGCTGCTCTATTTAAGACCTGAAGCAGGTGGATTGCTTCACTATTCTGGCAAATCGCCCGATGATGCTGGATGTAACTACCAGCGAAACGTCGTACTACTCAAATAGTCAATGTCGTGGATTTACTCTCCAACACACCGGTGGGCTGAAGTAGTAACTAATTTGCGTTTTTTTGACGTGACAAATCCTTTACTAATTGGCTGTGTCGGGTGGTGGAGGGCTACGACACATTTATACTTACGCGATCTAACCCCAAAAAGCCTTTATTATCCCCTAGACTCGTTGACTACAGCGGTGAAACATTTAATTAAAATTCCCTTTGGTCATTAAATCTTGATGTGAGAGTGGCGTGCAATTCCACCACCCCAATATTATCATCACTATTACTACGTCGGCCAATCATTGAACTCGCTTTTATTTTCTGTGTCTCTCGCGACGTAACTAACTTATCTCAGTTTGCATCTCCAGTCAGAATACTGCAGTGAAAGGTCATCCCGTCACAGTGAGTCACGCATTGTTCTTCAACGGTTAGCAGTAGTAAGTCGACGTCGTCACAGCCATCGTTCACGAAAAAAATATAAAAGCCCCCCCCCCCCCTTAATTGCCAAATTTTGTTGGCACTAATTTCGATAACAAAACTGACACTGCGTCGGTGCATCCATGCGTCCGTACATTTGTGCGTTCACGCTTCCATGTGTTCTTGTGTGCATCTGCGCGTTCATGCATCGGTGCGCCCGTACATTTGCGCGTCCAATGTGTTCGTCCGTCCGTTCGTGCGCGCGTATCGAGCGCGGCGTGCCGGAGTCCCGCCGAGACGGATCTCACCCTAAGATCGCCGGAGATGTTTGCCCCCGCCAGGATCCCCGTGGCCGAGGGGAAGAAGATGGAGAACATGCCGAAGAAGGTGCCCTGCTCGCCCCTCCAGTCAGGCCCAATGTTCTGCGCAAAGATTTCGGCTGCGGAAGCGGCAGAAGGCGAACAGCGGTGGCGTCAGAAACGCAGCGAGAAAGATTCGGATATCGTACTCTTTTGGTTCTTTCGGTAAAGTCACGTAGGTAGAAGATCAATAGATCGCAACACAGGCAACCGTCATCAGGTGAGACAAACGCAGCAGGAGAACTGCTGATGCAGGATGTCGTTTCGTCCTTTTGCTGTCGCTGCTGCCACTGCTGCTGCTGCGCTCAAACACCGCCACGGATAACGGGGCGACCAACTGGCTAAATGGGACAGTGGTTCTCACAAATGCAGAGAATCTGGACAAAAAGAAAACTCAGAACGAGGTGGATTCCGATTGTTAATTTTTTTTTGGTCTGCGAGGTTGCCGAGCCCACGGACCCAGGTCTCAAAGCCAGCGGCAGCGTCACCTATTTTGGACAGTGCGGTAACTCGCTCACACGAAACATCTGACTTGCGATAAAGAGCTGGGAAGATATTGGTTAATAATTTTGGAGAGAGAGAAAAAAAACATGGAACGATGCGATTCACTACAGCGAGTCAGGGTCGCTCCTGAATGCAGGAATTCGTTAGTTTGCTAGCGTTGTGGTGAATGGTGGCACCTCGAGTGACTACACGGCTGACATTAACCCGCTGGATACGACATATACCAAACATTAATTCCTAATACATATCTATAAGGCGAATCATTCCACCCCTAACCAGTGCCAACGCTTCGTGATTGAGCCACCGGTAATTTGAACATTTGACATCGGCCCTGTCGTGTCAATGTTACCTTTTATTGTGATTCGATGAGTGGCGCGCGCGCGCGTGTGAGAGAGCGTGTGCTAAAGGTTACAAATTACATCTGTAGTTGTAGAATCCCTTGGACTGCTTCTCCTTGGTGGAGGGAATAACAGTGCCCACCAGGTAGTTTGCGAAGGAAATCATGATCACGATGAAGAACACCACCTGGGCCTGCAGAGACGAGAGGCGATGGTGTTAGCGGGTTCACTATCTCTCCCCCAGCCCAGAATATATTTCTGCACCCGACACACCGCATCGAGTATACACCTCCTGATGTGGCTGTGGCGACACCGCTCGTCACGTGCCACCCAACGCAGCATTCTACTGACGACCCGCAAAAAGCTTTGTCGCATCTCGAATGAACGTGATCCATCACAAATCGACTGGTACCTATGAACACAGTACTCGATAAGGAAGTGATGAAGACGACGGTGATGATGATGATGGTGAGGAGGTAGATGACAGTGTTAGGAGGGGAGGCTTCACACACTCGTCACCTTGGCCTCCCACTCCATGCCGGCGAGCGAGATGCCCAGCAGGATGGTGACGGTGATGACGCCGATGATGCGGATGTCGTTGATCGGGTCCACCATGGTGCTGCCCGTCTCCTGCGTGAGACAGCCGCTCGGCGTTTACCGTGACCCCGGCCGGTGACCCGATGGCTCGCCGCGCCGCCGACTAGCACGGTCGGCTACGTGCGGTGCGAAAGAAGTTCAGCGCACTGGCCCTGGATGTTGACAACTTGCTGAACCCTCCTGCCGGCAGAGCCTCGGGTGCAACAAGAAACAGCTGCTCGTGATGATGAATGATTCATAGATGGGATAACATAATCTAAGTTTAACACGTACGCTTTCGCGACCAATATTATTCATAATGAAGGTTTTTTGGGTTAAATTGCGTAAGTGTAAATGTTGTGTCGTAACCCTCCACCACCCGACACAGCCAGTAAGGTGTGTCACGTAAACAATGCGCCAATTCGTCACTACTTCAGCGTTGGAGAGTAAATCCACAACATTTACAATTAATGAATAATATAATCTGATTTTATATTTATGGCGCGCCTTGACTCGAGGCGCTTGACGTAGTTTAAAACGCGTTGGCAGAATAGAACGCTGTAGATGGAAGGGGCATGCGAGGATTGATGAATGGGTGCTGACCGCGATCGTTGGGTGCTTGGGGATCACGAAAGGGCCGGGTAAGGAGTGGAGGGGTGAGGGAAGAGGTTTGGGCAATGGGGAAGAGGTTGAGGCTTTAGGAGAGGAACAAGAAGGAGGTTAAGTATGGGGGCTGCCTTAATGTACAGGGGCAGCGTTGACTCTATGGTGCAGCGTTGAGTCTGGGTTGAGTTTGTGACGATGTGAGTTGAGTTTGTGATGATGTGAGTTGAGTTTGCGATGAGGTGGGTTGAGTTTGTGACGAGGTGGGTTGAGTTTGTGACAAGGTGGGTTGAGTTTGTGACGAGGTGGGTTGAGTTTGTGACGAGGTGGGTTGAGTTTGTGACAAGGTGGGTTGAGTTTGTGACGAGGTGGGTTGAGTTTTTGTCGAGGTGGGTTGAGTTTGTGACGAGATGGGTTGAGTTTGTGTCGAGGTGGGTTGAGTTTGTGTCGAGGTGGGTTGAGTTTGTGACGAGATGGGTTGAGTTTGTGTCGAGGTGGGTTGAGTTTGTGACGAGGTGGGTTGAGTTTGTGACGAGGTGGGTTGAGTTTGTGTCGAGATGGGTTGAGTTCGTGTCGAGGTGGGTTGAGTTTGTGACGAGGTGGGTTGAGTTTGTGTCGAGGTGGGTTGAGTTTGTGTCGAGGTGAGTTGAGTTTGTGACGAGGTGGGTTGAGTTTGTGACGAGATGGGTTGAGTTTGTGTCGAGGTGAGTTGAGTTTGTGACGAGGTGGGTTGAGTTTGTGTCGAGGTGGGTTGAGTTTGTGACGAGGTGGGTTGAGTTTGTGTCGAGGTGGGTTGAGTTTGTGACGAGGTGGGTTGAGTTTGTGTCGAGGTGGGTTGAGTTTGTGTCGAGGTGGGTTGAGTTTGTGCCGAGGTGGGTTGAGTTTGTGTCGAGGTGGGTTGAGTTTGTGACGAGATGGGTTGAGTTTGTGACGAGATGGGTTGAGTTTGTGTCGAGGTGGGTTGAGTTTGTGACGAGGTGGGTTGAGTTTGTGACAAGGTGGGTTGAGTTTGTGACGAGGTGGGTTGAGTTTGTGTCGAGGTGGGTTGAGTTTGTGACGAGGTGGGTTGAGTTTGTGTCGAGGTGGGTTGAGTTTGTGACGAGGTGGGTTGAGTTTGTGTCGAGGTGGGTTGAGTTTGTGTCGAGGTGGGTTGAGTTTGTGACGAGGTGGGTTGAGTTTGTGACGAGGTGGGTTGAGTTTGTGTCGAGGTGGGTTGAGTTTGTGACGAGGTGGGTTGAGTTTGTGTCGAGATGGGTTGAGTTCGTGTCGAGGTGGGTTGAGTTTGTGACGAGGTGGGTTGAGTTTGTGTCGAGGTGGGTTGAGTTTGTGTCGAGGTGAGTTGAGTTTGTGACGAGGTGGGTTGAGTTTGTGACGAGATGGGTTGAGTTTGTGACGAGATGGGTTGAGTTTGTGTCGAGGTGGGTTAAGTTTGTGACGAGGTGGGTTGAGTTTGTGACGAGGTGGGTTGAGTTTGTGACGAGGTGGGTTGAGTTTGTGTCGAGGTGGGTTGAGTTTGTGACGAGGTGGGTTGAGTTTGTGTCGAGGTGGGTTGAGTTTGTGACGAGGTGGGTTGAGTTTGTGTCGAGGTGGGTTGAGTTTGTGACAAGGTGGGTTGAGTTTGTGACGAGATGGGTTGAGTTTGTGACGAGATGGGTTGAGTTTGTGTCGAGGTGGGTTGAGTTTGTGACGAGGTGGGTTGAGTTTGTGACGAGGTGGGTTGAGTTTGTGACGAGGTGGGTTGAGTTTGTGTCGAGGTGGGTTGAGTTTGTGACGAGGTGGGTTGAGTTTGTGTCGAGGTGGGTTGAGTTTGTGACGAGGTGGGTTGAGTTTGTGTCGAGGTGGGTTGAGTTTGTGACGAGGTGGGTTGAGTTTGTGTCGAGGTGGGTTGAGTTTGTGACGAGGTGGGTTGAGTTTGTGACGAGGTGGGTTGAGTTTGTGACGAGGTGGGTTGAGTTTGTGACGAGGTGGGTTGAGTTTGTGACGAGGTGCTGCCGCACTCACGATGAGGAGGTCGCGCACCGTCTCGGCGAAGCCCACGGTGTGCATGGCCACGGCCACCGCGTTGGCGAAGGCGAAGATGAGGCCGATGGAGCCGCCCAGCTCGGGCCCCAGGCTGCGCGAGATGAGAAAGTAGGTGCCGCCTGCACATACACACACGTACACACACACATACACACACGTACACACACGCACGCACACACACGCACATACACACACACGCACATACACACACGTACACACACGCACACACACGCACATACACACACACACGCACATACACACACGTACACACACACACGCGCACACACACACATACACACACGTACACACACGCACGCACACACACGCACATACACACACACGCACATACACACACGTACACACACGCACACACACGCACATACACACACGTACACACACGCACACACACGCACGCACATACGCACGCACTCACACACATGTACACGCACGCACACACGCACACATACGCACGCACACGTACACGCACACACGCGCACACATACACACGCACACGAGACAAAATCGAAAGGATCCCCCCTCCCACCTCAGCATAGCTCTGGAAGACTGTTGGGCAGTGCCGGATTATGATTAAGTAGCTACACATGTTGCTCTATTACTATAGTACTATACCGCCTTCAACTTTTATGAACGACTGGGTGTTTAAGGTTAGCGATTTGCCGTATTATATGGCTGTGTGGCAAATGAAAAAAATACAATTACTTAACTAAACAAGTTAAAAAATATATATTTTTAATTTATGTTTTTTAGGGCCCCTTTACAACATATGCTACAGGCCCCGCACGAGCTGAACCCGGCACTGCTGCTGGGGCAAGTGCTGTTATGAAGGCCGGGCACGGCACACGAGGGGGGGTGGGGGTTGGCCAGCACCACGCCCGGCCGCCTTTGTCTCCCCGGCGGGGATGTTTGGACACCGAGCACACAAGCACGCCAAATATGACACCGACAAACAGACGATCTCCCCCACCTTGTGTAACCGAACAGATTGTTGGGGTAAAGTGCCGTTAGCGAGCACACAGCTGGCAATCCCTTATCAGTGCCCTGCCTTATCACAAACCAATTCAGACCTTATTGGTCACCCCGTGCCCCTTATAAATCTCAACGTCCATCCCACAAAGTCCCATCACAAGGGAGGAACACAAACAAATAGGCTAAAACTATTCTTATTTTTCATATTTTGATACTGGCCACAAAAAGGTCCCATGATAAAGTTTATAAAGGCATTAAAAATGATAAAAATGATATCGCGACTCTCGAAATCCGTAGCACGAGCACAAGGAAGAGCGAGCGAGCAGAGGGCAGACGACGAATGGATTCAACCAGAGATTGACATCGAACTACAGAGTGGGAATATATGAGCGAAGCAACGAAGCCGGTAAAGGAGAGACAAAGGTGGACCGAGTTCATGCAACGCCATCGTCACTGTCGTATGTACGCGCGTGTGTGTGTATGTATGTTGAACTTTGTTCGCACCGCACGAAATTCGACCGTGCTAGTCGGAGGTGCGGGAAGCATCTCGAGCTGACGGGAGGGAAAAGAGGAGCGAGAAGACGATGTAGATGATGACGATGTCGATGATGACGATGTCGATTATGATGACGACGATGACGATGGTTGTGGGCACGTGGCTCACCCGACTTGACCTTGCCATTGGTGGAGATGGCGGAGATGGAGAGTCCCGTGATGCTCGTTACGGTCACGGACATGAGGATGATGAGCCACGTGAGCGCTAAAGACGCGCGCCAGACACACAAAGGCAAAGATCCCCCATGTAGCCTTGACAGACTGTTGGGGCAAGTTAGCGAGTAGCAGCACCGATGAAGGCCGGCACGACACACGAAGGGGGGTAAGGTGGCCAGCATCACGCCCGGCCGCCGTTGTCTCCCGAGTGGCGATGTTTACACATCGCACCAGGTACTCACTTGAGGCTGATCGTAGCGCAGCGCGCTAACCGCTACACCACCGCTCCCCCCACGTGCACGCATTCAAATACGTGAAGGTTTACGTCCTGCGTGTAACGGGCGCATACCACTCCCAGGTACTTTAAAAACTGTCAGATTTTTGTTGCTTTACACTCGTGATCTCACCCCCTGTATTTAGAACAATAATAAAAGCCCTTAATTAAGGAAGCCTCACACAGTTCTGTGACTCCTGACAGAGAGTCTTAAGCGTCAGCGAGTCTTCAGTACACTTTTTCAATCGGATCCTGCATTAGTATGTTTGGCAAACATGTCTTTTTTACAATTTTTATTTTACCAGGTAAGGGCACACACTGAGATAGGAAGTTTTTCTTTTCAGAAGCGACCTGGCCACACATGATAGCTCAACGAAGTGGATTATCACGTGGACATTTGTAGCAGTCGAATACTCTAAACGCGTGACGCTGATTTTAAATGTGGAGGGAAAAACCGGAGGACCCGGAGAAAAATCCACGCGACCACGGGGAGAGAGCGAGAGACACGCAAACTCAAAATATACAGCAGGCATCAGGGTCTGGATCGTACCCACGACCTCCTCCATACCAGACGAGGAAGTGTCTGGCCAAAGTTCTTTGCATGCGAGTGGATTCCACAATCCATTGCTGTACTGTCATCCCCTGGCCAATTCGCAACCGGCTCGTATTCTCAGGTAGTCTCATATCAAGTACCACGAACTAAACGCGTAACTGCTTAATGTATTCGATCCAAGGCATCGAGGAAATACCACGACGTGTCTTGCTAAATATATTCCGGCTTAACTGCCTTGTCTAACCCGAGAAGCAGTGCCGCATTAAGCTCGTGCGAGGCCTGTAGCATAAAGTGCCCCTAAATAATAATAAAAACATTTAAAAAAATATTTTTTACTTGTATAGTAAAGTCATTGTTTTTTTTATTTCCGATACAGCCAGATAATACGACAAATCGATAACCTTAAACACCCGGTCGTTCGTAAAAGTTGAAAGCGGTATAGTACTATAGTAATAGAGCAAGTGCAGAATCTCTGAACCGGAATTTATAGTTTGAAAGCATTTAGCGCGGGGCCCGTAGCTAGACATGTAGCAACTACATGTGCAGCTGCTTGTGCTACTAGGATAATCCGGCACTGCCGACAAGTGAATCCAAATCAGGTCACACGGTGCAGGCGATAACGCGAGCTGTTACAGATCAACTTCATCAGGGCGTGTGTGCGCGTGTGTCTGGCCTTAACGTGCACATAGCCTGGCACAGGCGCCGTGGTTACGTTGTTGAGTCACTTCAGTTCAAGTTATTTAGAATCACCCCGTGAGCCGAGAAGCTCATAGATCGAGTTTCAGAAACACTAACAACAACAGCAGCAGCAGCAACAACAGAAACCACCGCTTGACGAGGTGATCGCTCACAGCGATTCTCCCCAAGCAGTCTGCGTTAAAGGCCATGTGGGGGTGGGGGCATCTTTGTCGTTGTGTCCCGTGCGTCGTGAAATGCCTTACCGATGCCGGCCTGCGCCGTGATCCAGGGCAGCCGGAGATAGAGAATGACTCCCCAGATGTTGAGCATGCATCGGATCTGCACGCGCACGTGGCGATGACGCTTCGTTAGCCCGCTGCACATGACAAGCCGTGGAGCCGACCACAGGCTGGCGGGGGCAAGTGCCGATGATGAGCACCTCGTAAAGGCCGATTACTGTCGCGTGGCCGGGTTACCCGGCCGCCTTTGTCTCCCCGGCGCTCGTGTTTACGCACCGCGCCATGTAGTTATTGTGGGCTCGGGGAAGCACAGGAATGGTTCACATATATCACTCGCCGCTGATGGTTGTCAGCCTTAGGGGCTGGGAAATTGAACAACGCTCACAGCCAACACCGGTGACGACTATCTCAACCGATCATGGGCCTCCCCTAGGTCGACTCAGCCTCAAATGAGCACCTTGTGCGGTGTGTAAACATCGCCACCGGGGAGACAAAGGCGGTCGGGGCGTGGTGCTGGCCACCCACCCCCTCGTGTACCGTTCCAGCCTTCATAGGTGCTCGCTAACAGCACTTGCCCCTACAGTCTGTTAAGGCTGTACGGGGGATCTGTGTCTTTTTTAGTGGTTGTTGTGCTGGTTGTGGTGGTGGCGTTTGTGGTGGTGGTTGTGGTGGTGACGTTTTGGCTGTGTTGGTCGTTGTGGTGGTGGTGTTCTGTGGTGGTGGCGTTTGTTGTTGTAGTGGTAGTTTTGGTGTTTGTGGTTGTGTTGGTGGTGGTGCTTGTGGTTGTGTTGGTGGTTGTGGTGGTGTTTGTGGTGTTTGTGGTGGTGGCGTTTGTGGTGGTGGTTGTGGTGGTGGCGTTTGTGGTGGTGGTTGTGGTGGTGGTGTTTGTGTTGCTGGTCGTAAATCCCAACAACGTGGGAGCCTCACCATGACGCCCTTGACCCAGCCGAAGCGAATGAGCTCGGGCTCCGGTGCCGTTTCATCGGCGTCCCCATCCTCTCCCCCAACGGCTCCTTTCTCTACCCCAGCGGCTCCCTCCTCGGGGGACTCCAGCGGTGACGGCGGCAGCTGTGGGGGGGGGGGGGGGGGGTCAGGGGGGTGGAGAAGGTGGGGGGGAGGCATGACCCCCTCTCTCTTGAGACCCAAGATGCCACCTGAGTTGTCGATGCACCCCGGGCCATCTCAGCCGCTCATGCCAGGGTTCAAAACCACGTGGCTGTGCCAGCCACGTGCGTATTAGTCACAGCAGTCAAACAGCGAGGCATCGCACATCTCCCGTTGACAGCCCTGAGCCAGGAGTGGAAAGTCCACGTTCCTATAGGCGGGGGCGAGTATGCGCATAGTATAAGCACGGTACATGCGTACACCCCCCCCCCCCCCCTCCCATTGAACAAAGAAAACTGAACAAGAGCTAAAGGGTGCACGAGAAACAGACAAAAAAGAATCATAATGAGAGCATGTGGTTATATTGAAGGAATCCGATGAGCAGTACGGCTCTTTTTCAAAGACGTCCAAACACATGGGTCGGATATACAAATGGAAATCACAGATCAAAAGTACTCTTACGGGAGGTACGAGGGCTTGGGTAGGGCACATTGCGAGAATGTCAACTGCCAGTGGGCAAGACCGGTGGATGGAATGGCAGCCAAAGGAGAGAACGCGCAGGCGAGAGGACGACCACAGTGGAGAGGCAGCGATGAGATGAGCTCACGTGTAAGACGGCGAGGGATGGCTACGGTGTGTGTGGGTGGGTAGCCATTCATCTATCATCATCATCTATCAGAAGTCGAGCGAACGCGAAAAAAATGATCATTTATGAATCGTGATGGTTGTTGGTCGTGAAAAACCGACGCGTAAATTTTGCACAGTTTGGTTTAAAAGACGTGCGCCGGGAATTAAATGTAGAAGTGACACTTTGGGAGTTTTGTAAGCATGGGTTTTGAGTTCCAAAGCTCACACCCGTGCCACTGTAGGTTGCGCCTTTTACTCGAATCTGGCGCTGGTAGTTTGCGCAGGAGCTACACACACACGCGTAACCTTCGCAGTAGCATCGCCCTATATACTCACGATAAATCATCGTTACATCAGAGACCTGGGGGGCAAGGCACGTTTGTATATATTTTCCCGAATTATATTTGTATATTTTCAACAACAACACGTGAAACTAATGCAGTGAGCCCTAAAAAAACGAAACTATTTTTTTTTTACAATGTACAAGGTAAGGCCCACTGAGTTATGAAGCTCTTTTTCAGAAGCAACCTGGCCACAAATGATATCTCGACGAAGTGGATTGTTATCATGTGGACATTTAAAGTAGCCAAATACTCTAAAGGCGTGATGTTAATTCTAAATGTGGAGGGAAAAACCGGAGGACCTGGAGAAAAATCCACGCGACCGACGGGAGCAAGACTCAGCAGACCACAAATATACAGCAGGGGTCAGGGTCGGGATCGAACTCGCAAACCTCATGTATACCAGGCGAGGTAATTAACACCTCGCCACCGTGGCACCCCAGCAGCTGTGATGTCGGGGTAAAAATCATGAGACAGCACGACAAAGTTGGAGTGGAGATAGGAGAAGAGAGAAATGGGAGAAGAGAAAGAGGAGAGGGGGGAGGGGACGGATAATAACAAGAATACGGATGGTGGGAAGATGTCAGATGAGGAACGACTAAACGACGGGACATCAGGTCGTCCCCGCACGCCCCATGAGCGATCCTTGTGGAAGAGGGCGCACCTTCACGGGCGCTCCGTGCAGCTCGGCCAGAGAGGGCCGCACTTGCTGGGCCCTCTCCCCCGGCACCACGGTGTTGCAGTAGAAGTCGATGCGTGGCACCGCGTCCACCGTGTCGTGCCCCCACGTATTCTGGTCGTAGGTGTCGCTCGCGGTGTCGTAGCCCGTCAGCTCCAGGTCGCCTCGGGCGCGACCCTCCCCGGCGTCGTCGGTGTCGTCTTCGCCTCCTCCTCCTCCCAGCGAGGAGAGGCGGCTCACTCGGAAGCGGCTCGGACGAGCCGCCTGGCCGTCGTTCTCGTACAGGGATTCCGCCATGGGTCCCGACACCTCGAATCGCCCGCGTCTGACGCCGAGCATGGGCGGCAGTGGACCCCGAGGGTGACACGGCCGGCTGGAGTCACCGGTGGTGCGGCTTGAGATTAATGTGTGTGTATTGAACTTCTTTCGCACCGTACGTAGCCAACCGCGCCAATCGGAGCCACCCGCGACGCTGACACGGTCAGCTGCAGCCGCCCGTGGTGGAGGTTCCAAACGCGGGCGAACTCGCGAGGCGCACAGCCAAAGGCCCCTGGCGCCCGTAATTGTTTTAACCTCGGGTTTTTATAAACCGCAGGGCGTGCGCTCGATTGACCACCGCTAATTCGTCTCGCTCCCGGAGATCTTTACGATCGGTTTATGCGAGCGTGGGTGATGACCCTGAAGTCTGGTTCATGCCAGCAGTGGACGGAGATGGGCTTCTCGTTAGCGAGGTGCGCCTCGGGGCAGCGAATTAAAATCGACATCAGCTGATGACTGACAAAAAAGAAACGTGCCCAGAGCTCATTCGGGTTGAAGTAGTTTTCTTTGCGTAAAAATAAAAAAAAATAACACAACGCACATTAAGCGTGGACTGGAATTTCCGAGAAGGCAATGGAGCAGAGCGAGAGATAATCTCACGTCAATCTCAGCGCATGGTCATGTTGCTGCAATGGAGAGTCACGCCAGTTTGCTAAGGCCCGAAAGTATGTCATTCATGTTATTATTCATTTACCTACTTGTAGCCTCAGGAGTGTGTTTTTGTTTGTTTAATGAATTTGTTTTAAAGGCTAATGCTTGTTTTCCGGTCTCGTAAGTTTGTGTAAAGAACCAACGATGGCTTGACATGTATTTAGCAGAGAAGAAATTGTTGCCATTATGATTCATAATAATGTAGGGGGGTTATGTCAAATTTGTAACCATAACCCTCCGCCAGCTGACATAGCCAATCAAAGCAAGTTGTCACGTGGGTAAATATGCCGATTGATTTTTTTTTTGCTCAGCAAAGTTGGAACGTTGAAAAGCGAGCTAAACGTTTACGCCTGCATCGCCTACGCATTCAATTACAACCGATGCTGCCATTGTTGAGACAGCAATATGTTTAGTGCCATTCATTTTCAGGGTCAATGGACATTAAATGATAACCCACACATTTTGGGAATCGCATAACGTATTGAAGATGAGGATTACTAAAGTGGTGCCACCACAGATGCCATCATGGCCAGAGCCTTTGATCTCAGCACACCTCGCCAAATGTTTTCTACCCCAGAAACATTACCAATATTAAGGATTTTACTTTAACAAACATCCCACGCATTATATTCTTCGTTCTTTCGGTAAAGTCACGTAGAAGGGAAACAATAAAATAACAAAAATATAAAACAATAAAATTCTCACGACGTTTCGACTGCAACACAAGCAATCATCATCAGGTGTGAAAACCACAGCAAGAAAATTTGAAAAAAGTGGCGTTTTTTTAACGTTAGCACCACGGAGAGCGATTTGGCAGTTATTCAGGTGGACGAGTCCATCTATGTTCGGAAAAGAGGAGGGGGGAGACAAAAATAATGGATGCGGTCTGAAAGCCACCGTAAGCGTGAACAATCAATTAAGACCCGAAATGGTTTATCAAATCCTTCCAATGATTGCTAAGCCAGAATCCATCTTCTCGGTTGAAATTGTCTCTGTGTTTGTATATGTATATGTGGATAGCCTCATAAACGAATCTATCATGGTAACCAGATGGCTTGCAGAGAACCTCTGTCTTGGAGAAGTCAATGTCATGTGAGCCTACTGAATTATAACAGTGATCTGCCACGGCCGAGGTGTTGGTCCTACCGTGTTTTAGGTCTGCTTTGTGTTCACGGATGCGGTCCGAGACATGTCGTTTGGTTTCTCCAATGTAACTACTACCACAGAGGCAACTTAGTTTGTAGACGCCAGGGTACTGTATGTCCGGAATCACATCTTTTACAGACGGAACCAGATCATAGATTTTATGTAATGTGTTGAATCGGACCTGGATCTTGTGTTTATTCAAGATTTTGGAGATATTTTTTGTGGTCCCCGCAATGTAGGGTAAAGTGATGTTTTTGAATGGCTCATCAAGAGGGTCCTTCTTCATGGTTGGAGTGATAGCTTTGCGGATTGTGTAGTCGGAGTAACCACTAGCCTTAAGAGCTTGGTGTACGTGCTTGAGTTCACTGGCTATGTGTCCCTGGTCGGATTTGCATTTGGCTCTATGGTGCAGAGTCTTGATGAGGGAATTCTTCTGGGATGGATGGTGGTGGGAATCCGGTTTCAGGTAAGCATCCGTATGGGTATCTTTCCTGTAGACAGAGTGGCTCATTGAACCATCAGGTCTCTTTTTTTGTAAGGACATCCAAAAAAGGTAGCTTGCCATCTTTTTCGACTTCCATGGTAAATCTGATGGCTGGGTGTATGGAATTGATGTGGTCGAGGAATTGGTCGAGAGCAGGCCGGCCATGTGGCCAGATGACAAAAGTGTCATCCACGTACCCCTTCCATAAGGTTGGGCGCAGAGTAGCAGTCTGGATGGCGTCAGTCTCAAATTTCTCCATGAAAATGTTGGCTACAACCGGAGATAGGGGGGAGCCCATTGGGGTGCCCTCAGTTTGTTTGTAGAAAGTTCCATACTCTTTGGTTCTATTGGGTAAAGTCACGTAGGTGAAAATAAAATAACAAAAAATCACGACGTTTCGGCCACAACACAAGCGGCCTTCATCAGGTGAAGGGACGAGACTGTCTGGAGGACAGCGCTGGAGTGGAAGAAGCCACGCTCAGATCACGACCTTTAAGCTTGTGATCGGGGCATCTTTTGAGGAAGGTCAGCGTCTCGATGAGTTGCGACTTCTTGTCCCGTTGTCTGTTAAAAGCTCTAACAGATAGGTGAAAACCCTCCCCATAGAGGTTATCAATTCTAGATTTAAAGCTTTCGTGACTGCTAGGATCCATACTCTCTATCTGTTAGAGCTTTTAACAGACAACGGGACAAGAAGTCGCAACTCATCGAGACGCTGACCTTCCTCAAAAGGTGCCGCGATCACAAGCTTAAAGGTCGTGATCTCAGCGCTGTCCTCCAGACAGTCTCGTCCCTTCACCTGATGAAGGCCGCTTGTGTTGTGGCCGAAACGTCGTGATTTTTTGTTATTTTATTTTCACCTACGTGACTTTACCCAATAGAACCAAAGAGTATGGATCCTAGCAGTCACGAAAGCTTTAAATCTAGAATTGATAACCTCTATGGGGAGGGTTTTCACCTATCTGTTAGAGCTTTAAACAGACAACGGGACAAGAAGTCGCAACTCATCGAGACGCTGAGCTTCCTCAAAAGATGCCGCGATCACAAGCTTAAAGGTCGTGATCTAAGCGTGGCTTCTTCCACTCCAGCGCTGTCCTCCAGACAGTCTCGTCCCTTCACCTGATGAAGGCCGCTTGTGTTGTGGCCGAAACGTCGTGATTTTTTGTTATTTTATTTTCACCTACGTGACTTTACCCAATAGAACCAAAGAGTATGGATCCTAGCAGTCACGAAAGCTTTCAATCTAGAAGGGATTCATATTCTTGGTTCTTTCGGTAAAGTCACGTAGAAGGGAAACAAGAAAAATAAAAACCGCCACTTTTTTCAAATTTTCTTGCTGTGGTTTTCACACCTGATGATGATTGCTTGTGTTTACAGTTTCCCTTCTACGTGACTTTACTGAAAGAACCAATAATATAATTCGTTACTAGTTCAGCACACCGTTGTGTTGGAGAGTAAATCCACACACCGCTGTACTGAACTATTGGAATTCCACGTATCTTAATTATGCATTGTTTGGTTTTTAAATGTCCATTCGCATTAACTGCTGTTGGTCTATACATTACGAACGACAGTCATCTGAACATCTGTAATTGTACTGTTGAATTCATTCGGTCGCATCTAATTAATCCAGTGTATTTGGTGCTTGAGTATTTGGGCTTATCAATTACCGCACAACAACAAAAAACCCGATCGTATTATTAATTATTTGGTGTTTGCAAGTACAGATATCAGTTTGTCCGTAACGCTTCGTAATCTTACTCTCTGTGGAAAGCGTGGGTGGGACATTGCTGCCTCCTACTGTGTGGGTGTCTCTCTCAGTGGTAGCTCTGTGATGTTCGCTTCTGCGGGCCGTTCTCTAACACAACGGGGCCGCGCTGCTTATACGAGAGACGAATTTGACATGACGCCGATGGCGCAGTGCGGACACAAATGTGGTAAATTAGTCAAAAAACCAAACGTTATTTAGCTGCTGTTGCTTATGCAGATAACGATGATGCTGATGAAAGGCATGCCCTTTGAAGTATTCATTTTCATTCGTATGAAAGTTTTATTTGGGCCGCTAACCTAGGTCCTACGTTAAGAGATTATTCATGTTGTAACATAACGTAGATGTTATTGAATTGCATGGCTTTCATCCCCGGTGAATGAGCCATGATGCGTATCTATTGTGTTTGTCCGTGTCAAGTCTACCACGTGCGCCCTTAATTGAATCGTGTTTGTCAACAAGAGCCAACATCGGCATAACAGTTGTTGGGACATCAATGCAACGTGGGTTTTGTGTGCGTCCGTTCAATTCAACAGTGAAAATCAAATGAACGAATCAACGCAGCGGATTAATCGGTGGGCTAATGAAGCTGGATGCTTCATCGTCAGCTTTGCTCAATTCGCTGCTGGATGAAAGCGTCCGCAAGCCGAGAGCATCTCTCACGATCGTGCGCGCTGCAACGACGCACGCAACCTCCTGCACGCGACACGATGTCATCGCTCCAGTCGTGGGTGGGTGTCCTCTCGGGCGAGGTTCCGTCCCGTGGCTGACACTCCGTCGTCATGTATTTACGAGTGCAATTGCCCGTCATATCACGGGTTGATAAAAACAAATGATTTAATGTAAAAGATAAACAAAAACGTAAGATTGTATTGCATTTATTACTAAAATAATTTATCTATATATCACGTTTGGTGTAAATCGCCTTTCATTAAAAAAAAAAAACAATTTAAAATTGCATGAAAATCCACGTAGCTTACCCAGCGTTACACACACAGCGCACAGAGTGTCAGGTGTTAGGCACAGATCACCCAAACTATAACCATCTGTTGTAGCGACGTGTCCTGTCCACGTGCATTTTAATTAACCGCACGAGTTGTCATTAATGATGACTTCGCGTGTGTCCTCTAAATCCACGCGCGCCTCTCTTTCTACTTTCTGCAATAAACGACATTGCTTGTTTATTGCATTTGGAGTTGCTGGGAACAATCCTTTGCGTCTGGCAATGCACTCAACTGCTGAATGAAAACCT